GACACCGTGAAAAGCTCATTTCTCACAGGGTATTTGAGTGTCACAGTGTCAGAATTTTGTGGGACTGCTATACAGGATTATGATTATGGATTACAGATCACAAAATTTAGGTCTTTATTTTAGTGTTTTTTTTTTTAAGCATTACGGTTAAACACAAACACGGTTATAAATATAATAAACATGTTTGTTGTAAAAATACGTAATAATGACAAAAAATACTAATTCGTGGATCTCCTTACTTCTGGGTGTAGCGATCTGCCTTTGTGGCTGGTGTATTCTTGAAAATTGTCTTACCCCTTGGTTTCGAGTGTGGTCCTGAAAAATCTTTGTCCGAAGGGCTATTCATCCGTTCCACTACGCCTTCCACTACACTAGGCCCTACGCCTTCAAGCTAAAGAGAATTGGGACACCCCTACCCCTTGACGTGAACACGCAAAAGGAGGGGTAAGGGGAAGGGCTAAGGGGTAGAATTGGGATTGGGCCTTAGAAACAGGAGATTAATAATTATATGAACGTAAACTTTTGGATCTCATACAGCTGTCCCCCCACTTTTAAAAGAGTGTGAGCTGCTATACTAACAAAAGCCACTAAGTGATATTTATGGTGAGTTGATGACTCCTAAGGGACACTTTCGCTGCGTTCCATTTGGAAGGGATTATTTCTATGCCCCACTCCCTTAGAGCGTTTTACTCACTGGAGTCACAGCTTTGAAGGGATTAGGGCATAGGGATGAGCCCTTCCAAATGGAACATCGAGGCCAAAGGGTACTCCCAAGTGCCTAGTTTTGAGAACTTCGGTTTGGAACACTTCAAAATAGTGGCCATTATTGTTTTCACTCTGAAGTGCTCTTTGAGGGTGATATATCCCATTTGAAACACTCCATAGTTTACCACTTGACCTCAAACCACAATAATAGTTAATTCATTTCAATTTAAAACATTGTGTTCAAGATGTCAAATATTTCAAGTATTTGTGTGTTAATTGGCTTTTCATAGCAAAGGGGTCTAATGTATCAACGCTGCGTAAACAAAGGTTTCACGCTCACATTTGGATTTACTAACCATGGAATTAACGTGAGTGTGCATTGGTCCGTGCCAACTTCATGTCTGGCGTACGTGTATTTCTTGTGTGTGTTTGTTTCATTTCCATTGGCCACTCCTAGAGGCAATAATGTTAAGTTGCACACTACAGAGAATCGTACCAACACTTGTGAAAAACATTGCTGTTCATTTATAATTAATAAAATTAGCTAATTGACACTTTTTTTTTTTTTTTTAGCAATTATGTGATTTAGAACATATAAATGCATTCGCAAATGGCAATGTTGGCCTAATTAGAGGACATTGTCAATGGTTGAAAACAAAGGGAAGCGTTTTTCAGAGATCACATTGATTTTCTGGCCCACGATGATGACCGTTTCAGATTTTCAAGACCTATACTCTAGAAGCTCTGCTGAGTTGGGTTCAAATTTGGAAAGAAAGACAGCAAGGAGGCTCCAAGGTGGCAGGGTGGGCAATGGGTTGGTTCTTGGTGAGTGATGTATTTAAAGATATTATTCGGCAGTTTCACTTTAACTCATGAACATTTCATTCATGCCCTCTAGACATACTGGGGTATTAGATGCAAATAAGCAGTAAGGACTGGTAAGAGTTATAAAATTTAATAACGCACGCCGAGTGGAAAGAAAAAAAACTTCTGCATTTTGTGATCTTGGCGAGAAATATGGCTTAAAGTCTACATGATGGCAATAGTTTGATTGTGATGTTTACTTCAATAATGCCACTAATATATGCATACTCCTGCATCTTTACATCGGACCATTTCTTTTTTTAATTCACTCAGTGCGATGTTCAGACACCACGAAATGTTTTAGTATTATTTCAACGCAAGTCTTCGTACATGAGGCCCCTGGTGTTTCTCATACTTTTTACCTCCAGATCACCTTTAAGAGTTGGTGAATTTGCAGCGATGAGACAACCAAAGGAAGAGGGAAACCCCCAAACCACTCATTCTTGTCTTTCTCTTTCTCGTTTCTCTCGCCACAAGCGTCTCATCAGGACGAGGATGGAGCTCCACCTTGTGGTCGGTGGGTGACTATAAATAAATATAGCTGAAAAGCACTTTATTTGTTTTTTTTATGCCAAAAAATAAATAATTTTTTTTTTTTTATTAAATGGTTTAAAAATGTCATCAAGAATTTACAGACTAAATAAAAATATGTATATTTTACTGAAACACATAATGTCGACAATAAATCGTAAATTGAGTATTTTTTCAATGCTCTAAACAAGTTGAACATTGGGTTCTTCAGCCGAATCCCTTATTTATCAGGGTTTGTTAAAACCACATTATTTGCATGTTAAAGAGATAGTTAACTCCAAGATTTAAGCTGTCAAAATTCATACTTCGAGATTATCTGCCTTTCATAATGTGCTTTTTGGTCTAATGTAAAGAAAAGAACCCTCATAGATTTCTTCAGTTCTACCACACTTTATCAGTCTGTGTCTGTAGATTGCAGTAGTAATGCATTAAAGGCTGTTTTCTCAAAATGGGTCATAAATCTCCACTTCAGCATCACTCACATTACCAAACGTTTTATTCACATCTATATTCTGAAGGCTTATATTTAATATAATACCATTGCATCTCTTTTAATAAAAAAAATTTGGGTAACACTTTACAATAACAGTACATGAGTAATGACTTGTTAATATATAAAGTAAACATTCATTTATTACGAACTAATGATGGGTTAATACATGCACTAATTTTGAACTAACTTTAACGACAATGTGAGTCACATGAGTTGATGTGTGAATAACAGAGACCTTTACTTGTTAGTACATGGTTGTTTGTTAATTATTGTAATAATTACCACATTAGGCGACACGGTAGCGCAGTAGGTAGTGCTGTCGCCTCACAGCAAGAAGGTTGCTGGTTCGAGCCTTAGCTGGGTCAGTTGGCATTTCTGTGTGGAGTTTGTATGTTCTCTCTGTGTTCGCGTGGGTTTCCTTTGTATGCTCCGGTGTCCCTTACAAGTCCAAAGACATGCAGTACAGGTGAATTGGGTAGGCTAAAATTGTCCGTAGTGTTTTTTTTTTCGTTTGAATGTATGTTTGTTTCCCAATGATGGGTTGCAGCTGGAAGGGCATCCACTGCGTAAAACATATGCTGGATAAGTTGGCGGTTCATTCCGCTGTGGTGACCCCTGATTAATAAAGGAAAAGAAAATGGATGAATGACCACATTAGTTTCTGCTTAATTTAACTATCATGAACTCATTATATGCTAATGTAGAATTATATCATGACTTTACTTGGAGGGGCACATCATCATTAACCTATTTTTAATGCCCCATTCACACGGGGCATCAGCGTCAACATTTCCCATTCACTTTGAATGGGTTACGTCAGGCGTTGCCGAACTGCATTGTGGATCCACCTGCGCCGCTTCAGTAGCGTTGCTCGCTGCAGAAGTTGGGACTTTCCCAACTTTTACAGCATCAGCCAATCCTCAGCCAGTAGCTGATTGCTGACTAATTTCATTGGCTGGCATTGCTATGACGATCGCGTCTGCCCCAACTTTAGACACGCCCTCTGTCAAGCGTTGATGCTGAAGCCCCGTGTGAATGGGGCGGAACTCTTCATGATCTCTTTATGCACATCCTTCTAGTTCGTTTACACTGAATAACAATAGAAAAGTGTTCTGTCAACATAAACATGAACACTGTAAACACAAAAATAGCCAAGGATGAGTTAATGATGATGTGTCCCTCCAAGTAAAGTCATGACATACACATACATTAACATCTCATAAGTTCATGATGCATCTATTTATGCGTGAATAGCAAGATTTATTCATGCGTGCCGCGTCTGGTGTGAACACAACATTCAAGTTTAGGCTGCAATGTTACGCTGCACTGTTTAGAGTTCACGCCATGTTGTTTCGAGTCTATGTCACACTGTTTCAAGTTAACGTTATGCTGTTTTGAGTCTATGCCATGCTGTTTTGAGTGTACGTCACGCTGTTTGGAGTCTACGTCACGCTGTTTCAATATGCCACTCTGTTTCAAGTTTACACCAAAGCCACGCTGTTTCAAGTTTAAGCCACGCTGTTTAGTTTACGCCATGCTGTTTCGAGTCTATGTCGGGCTGTTTTGAGGCCATGTCACACTGTTTCACGTCTACATCACGCTGTTTCAAGTCTATGACACACTGTTTCGAGTTTACGCCAAGGCCATGCTGTTTCAATTGTGCGTCGCGCTGTTTTGAGTCTATGCCACACTATTTCGAGTCAATGTAACACTGTTTTCAGTTTACGTAAAGGCTTTGCTGTTTCAAGTTTACGCCGCGCTGTTTAAAGTTTATGCCACACACTGTTTCATGTTTATGGTTACATTTAGCTTAAACTCAAATGTTACTTAATACACTAATTAACAACATGTACTAACAAGTAATTAAAGCAGACGTTATTCACAAATGAACTCACGTGACTCATGTTGTAATTAAAGTTTGTTCATGATTAGGACATGTCTTAACTCATTAATTCATAATAAAGTAATGATTGGTTTACATATTCATATATAATTATTCATTTACTGTTATTGTAAAGTGTTACCTATTTTTGTGTTAGAAATGGATGGAAATTAGCACATATTAAATTAAACAGAGCACCACTGACATATTTAAACAAAGTATAGAACATTTTAAATGTAATCTCGTTTCACCTGCATTGTCTCGCCCATAGACTGTAAATAAAAGGTCTTGCCCGTAGGGTCTTGACCACATTTGTCCCCGCTCACCTTCCATACCCTCGGATTTTTTTATCCTGCTGCCATCGTTCCATTTACGGAAAATAACGACAGCTTCCGATTGGCTGTTTGGATTGTAGTCCCGCATCCTTCGCTTCTGCTTCCGGTTAGCAATGGAGGTTACAAGCAGTATTGCATTTCTGTCTTTCTCGCACATTTTGCAATGACGAAGCCAGGTCTGGTGTCTAGGATTAAACATGAATTGCTTTGATAATAAATTCATATTCGACTAGGTTGCGTCGTAGAGGTGTCCGTTTAGTGAGCGGAGGATGCTTAAAATCGGAATTTAAATTGTTGTGGTTGCATTAGCATAACGCACTCGATTTAGCTTCATGTCAACAACACCGCGAGTCATTTGTACCGTTAAATAAGCCTCGTTTTGATTATTTAGCTACTTTGAGCTCATCGGCACGATATTTAATGTGGGTTTGAGGTGTCATTGCTGAACATGTCAATGTTTGAGATGGACAGAGAGGAGTCTGACAGGCTGATAGAGAAAGCCAAGCTGTGTTTGCGCTCAGGACGCAAAGAGAAAGCCCTGCAGCTGTTGTACGAGGCGCAGAAGATCTACCCGAGCACCAGGGCCAGAGGTTTGTATCCTGCTGCTGGTGCTGCTTGATTGACAAATCAGCTGTGTTTGGTCAGTGTGCTGAAATAGAAAGTGCAGACGCTGGATGTTGTGTGTTATATAATCTGTCACCGGGTCGCTGATGATGGGTTCGAGAATGAAAACATCTGACATTTGATGATTTAAAAGCTGTGAGGCTGATCTTGTGAAATTAGCGTCCGGTGAATCCAGTTTGGATGCATTTTTTGTTTATGTATGTGGTAAGCTGCAGAATTTACATCTTTTTACAAATTTCTTAAAGGGGTAGTACACCCAAATGTGACTGGATTACAAAATCTTAATAGAGGTAAAGTTGGTTTTATATTCGCACATTCTTTCATTTAGGAATCTCTTTAAAGTTTACCATGTTACTTTGAATATTCAATCAGAATTAGCATGCCAGTATGACTTGAAATTAACATTATCACTGTTTATTTGACCGTGAGCAATGTTGTACTTTGATAGTCATTGGCTGCTAATATGATTTCGCTATTTAGAGTTTGCAAATAATACTTTTATGAAATTATATTATTAAGGGGAAAGTCTGAATCTGCGAATATAAAACCAACTTTACTTCTATAAAGCCTTATATCTAATGTTGCGCAGGTATATTTCTGGCAAAATGTTGTATTGGGGCGTCACGGTGGCGCAGTGGTTGCACGATCGCCTCACAGCAAGTAGGTCGCTGGTTTGAGGATCAGTTGGCATTTCTGTGTGGAGTTTATATGTTCTCCCCATGTTGGTGTGGGTTTCCCCACCAGTCTAAAGACATGTGCTATAAGTGAATTGGGTAAGCTAACTTGTCCGTAGTGTATGTGTGTGAATGAGAGTGTATGGATGTTTTCCAGTATTGGGTTAAAGGGCATCAGCTGCATAAAATATATGCTGGATAAGTTGGTGGATTATTTCACTGTGGCGACCCCTGATTAATTAAGTGAAAAGAAAATGAATGAATGAATGAATGTTAGTCAAAATGAATGATTTTTGTTAAATTGAGGTAAAGTTGGTTTTATGTTTGTACATTCAGACTTTCTCCTTAATAATATAATTTCAGAAAAGTATTTTTTGCAAATTCTAAATAGCGAAATCATATTAACATCCAAATGACTATAGAAGTAAAACATTATTCACAGTCTATAAATAGTATAATATAAATAGTCTATAAATAGTATACTATAAATAGTCTATAAATAGTGCTGATGTTGTTTTGAACTCATACTTGCATAAGATTTCAAGTCGAATATTCAAAGTACCATAGTAAACAATATAGGGAGAATGTCATAAGTTGTCACTGAATAAATGTACAAATATAAAACCAACTTTACCTCAGTTTTTCTTCTGCGGAACAAGCAAGAAATGAAAGTTTCTCTTGCGTGGTGGTTTTGATTTTTATTATTTTCAATGAGAGTTAATTTTTACATTTTGATGGTCTATTCAGGGTAACCCTTCTGTATTCTGTATTTACTAACATGAACAAACAATTAGTAATACAATTATTACAGTATTTATTCATCTTTGTTTATGTAAAGTAGAATAATGTTACTTCATGTTAGTTCATTTTAACTCACTGTAGTATGCATTAACTAATGTTAACAAGCAAAACGTTGGGTTTTTAGTAATGCAGTAGTTAACGTTGAATTATGATTAATAAATCCTTTACAAGATTATTCATACTTAATATTAGTAAATACATTAACTAACATTATCTAATGGACCATCATCCGAAAGTGTTACCCTATTCTGTTGTGTGTGAACTACAAAAATGTGAAATTGTGAAAACCGTGATGTCATGTAATTGACAACCAAAACATTAATGGTGGACTAAAGTACTATGTGTGCAGACCGAAATAGGAAAAAAAAGGAAAACTGTTGTTGTTTTCCTTCTGATTTATTTTGCTTTAAATTTCTGAAGCATTCTAAAGCTATCAGACTATTAAATTAACTACATGAAGGCACTGAGACATATAATGTCTGGATAATGTTAAATGTATTTATTCAATATTTACTTTCATTTATCTAATAATTTATTTTAAAAGAATACATTAGTCCAGGGGTCACCAATCTCGGTCCTGGAGGTCCGGTGTCCCTGCAGGGTTTTGCTCCAACTTGACTCAACACAACTGCCTGGGTGTTTCAAGTATACCGGTCACACTAGAGTAGAGTTTGAGCTTGTGAAATTCTGTAGTACGGCGCTGTGAAAAGGGGTGGGATTAAACAGAATGATTAGACATTTTAAAAAGCGAGCGATTGGTCCATGTTTTAAATTACTGTCCAGAGAGATCATGTTTTGATCTTCGATTGGTCATACGTCAGAGTTAACCAAGCCTGAACTTTGCAACGCAGTGAATTGCGAAACTTGTCACATGAGCTTGCTTTTTTGGACTGACGCATTTGCGTGCGTATGAATGGAAGTCTATGGGGGGAAAAAAGTCCAGTGTGACCAGAGTTTGAGACCTTTATTAGCTTGTTCAGGTGTGTTTGATTAGGGTTGGAGCTAAAATCTGCAGGGCACCGGCCCTCCAGGAACAAGTTTGGTGACCCCTGTTTCAGTGCTTCAATTTTTTACTTTTGTACACATTACCAGTTTTGTTTGAAATATATTCCACATGTTTTTGTATTAGTGGAAGGGTCAGACTCTCTGGCTATATACAGCATATACATATATAAACATTTCAAATGTCTAGTCTGCAATCTTTTGTTGTATTGGCTGTCATTGCAAAAAACACAAAATTTAGCAATTTATAATGACAAAATAATGTCAAATTGTTTTTACATTTTCTCCAGAATGTTTTTGTGACCTAGTAGTATATCTCCCAAAGCCCATACTGGTCTTAACCCATTGATTGTGGACCCCTGCTAATTTAAAACGATCAAATCAGTGATCTATTTTAGTGACAAATGCTTAGTTAAGTGTCCATGTGGCAAATAACGATATTGGATAAACCTGTAATGGTATTGACTAACAAAAATCCCATCAACCCTCTGAAAAAGCAGACAAATATACACTGATCGTGGAGTCAGTGCAACAGTATAAAATCTTTATTTCTCTCATTAGTGCTGATTGATGCCATTGTGAAGAATGGCTACACTCCCCCTGATGATGAGCGCACCTACACACCTCCCCCGGGCTGGAGAAGTGCTGATGAAGATGTCCCGCCTTCAGTTCCACATCACCGGCCCAGTACACATGAGAGAGCAGAGGCGTCCGCCGACGACAAGAAGAGCTACACGGAGGAGCAGCGACAAGGAGTTCTCAGGTGCTGATAAAAGAACCGTCACCCAGTAAATGAAAACTTTGTCAACTCTGTTTATTTATCTTTTTCCTGAATCTGTGCAGGATAAAGAAATGCAGAGACTTCTATGAGATTCTTGGAGTGCCAAAGGGCGCCAGTGATGAGGACCTGAAGAAAGCTTATAGGAAGCTGGCACTTCGCTTTCACCCGGATAAGAACTGTGCTCCTGGAGCCACTGATGCTTTTAAAGGTAGCTCATATTTAATGCAACCACTAGTGTTCAAAATGTTGGGCTTATTGGGATGTTTTTTCTTTTTGTTGAAAAAACTGGATAAGAAAAAGATTTATGTTTCACAATTCAGATTTAGAGCACCGTCTCGCTGCTTTGAGTTAGAGATCTGCACGGGACAAAATTTTTAATCCTGGTCTTAACTCGACCGCTCCAGCTTATATTCAGCATTTGTTGTCTCGCTGCCCGCCCCACTCCCTTTTCTACCCAACACGCCCGCTCACGGGGGGGGTTGGGGTAAAACAAAACCAAAAACCACCCAGCTATAAATTCCAGACAGCCTATAACAAGCTGTCTGTGTACACACACACAAATAGACACACAGCACCAAGCAAGTGACACACAGACAGCATCATGCTCTCTCTCATTCACACACACACACACATATATAGACAGCACAAAGCTCTCTCACACACACCATTCACACACATACATACGTGTGATCGCTCGCTCGGGAAGCGATATTGTTAGACTGCCCGCTCCTGTTCAAATTACACCAGTTACCGACCGCTCCCCTGCTTTATTCGGAAATTTATTCAGACCTGTACTTTGAGTTTGTCTCACTGTTTTGAGTTTGTTTTAATGGTTTGAGTTTACGCCATGCTGTCATGCTGCGTTCACTCCAGACACAGATGAAGTGCCTGTTGTTGGTGTCCTGAGGGGAAATCCTCTTCCCGACACCGGACAACAGTTCATCAAACTGGGCTCGGCTCAGTCTGAAGCACCACTGAAAGCTTCCATCATCCAGGTATAGTTTCTTTAGGAGGTGATGAACTCAGAGAGCTGCTTGCACCTCTGAAAGGATCTAGTGGAAAAGGATCTTCTACAACGAATCTACGTTGTTTTTCAGCTATTAATAAAATTCATGTTAGCCATTTAGCAACGAAGCTAGAGTCACCGATCAGACAGAAGCCTTGCACATGACGCGACTCCGCATTTGTTGTGAAGTGAATTTGACTCGTAATTGAAGTGAGTAAACTCAACATGTTCACGCTTACATTTATTTGCTAATAGTGAGATTTATTCGTGCTTGCCCCGTCTTGTGTGAACACAGCATTCAAGTTTAAGCCATGCTGTTAGTTCACGCCTGCTGTTTTGAGTTTATGCAGCACTGTTTTGAGTTTGCTGTTTTGAGTCTATGGCATTTTTTTTGAGTCTACGTCATGCTGTTTCGGGTTTGTCACACTGTTTCGAATTTACGTCACGCTGTTTTGAGTGTATGACACTATTTAAAGATTACGCCACTCTGTTTCGAGTCTATGTCACTGTTTCAAGTCTATGTCACTGTTTCGAGGTCTACGTCACTGTTTCGAGTCTACGTCACGCTATTTCAAGTCGACGCCACGCCGTTTTAATTCTACATCACGCTGTTTCGAGTCTACGCCACGCTGTTTAGTTTATGCCACACTGTTTAGAGTTTACGCCTTGCTGTTTCGAGTCTACATCATGTTGTTTCGAGTCTACGTCACACTGTTTCGAGTCTACGTCACGCTGTTTCAAGTTTACGTCACGCTCTTTCGAGTCTACGTCACGCTGTTTCGAAATTAGGACACGCTGTTTCGAGTCTAGATCACTCTCTTTCTAGTCTACGCTAACGGCACCCTGTTTCAATTAACGCCACACTGTTTCAAGTCTACATCACACTGTTTTGAGTCTACGCCAACGGCACGCTGTTTCAAGTTTTATGCCATGCTGTTTCAATTAACGCCACACTGTTTCGAGTCTACGCCGTGCCTTTTCAAATAAACGCCGCCACCCTGTTTTGAGTCTACGCCACGCTGTTTTGAAATTCATTTAAGATAATATGCTGATTCATGTCATGGGCAGGGCTTCTGTCTGATCGGTGACTCTAGCTTAATTGCTAAATGGCTGACATGAATTTTATTGAGCTTGAGATAGTAGCTGTGCTTTATGTGTTTTAGGAAGGCTAAAAAACAGCGTATTTTTTTGGGTGCTGTGTCTTGAGTCCACTAGATTCTCTCAGAGATGCACTCAGCTCTGTGAGTTGAACAACTTCTGCAGAAACTATACCTGGAAGATGGAAACTTTCAGTGGCGTTTCGACTGAGCCGAGCCCAGTTTGATGAACTGTTTTCCAGTTTCGGCAAGAGGATTTCTCCTCGACACACCAACAACAGGCACAACGTCATAATGACTCCCCTACATGGCAAGTTTATGACTGGTTCATGCGGCTCATATTACTGCTGAAGTTCTGATTTTCGTGCGTCAAACTTGCGCTGCTTCATACGCACAAATGACGTGTGAACGAATCGCGCCTCAGGATGTCTGTTCGTGTCTTTGCATTGCAGAATTAGTGCATTAAAACAAAAAAATGTAAGTTGTAGCAATACTTCGTGATATTAATATCTTCAATTCAATTTTATTGCTAGACAGTCTTGAGCAGAAGAGATTTCTGACAGATCCAAACATTTAGATTTACCTATTACTTAAATAATACATTACATTTGTTAGATATTGCTTATCATATACATGCATAGCTTAAAAATTTGTTTTCTACTCCCCCCTTTTCTATTTAGCTATAGGCAATGCATATGCAGTGCTCAGTAACCCAGAGAAAAGGCAGCAGTATGATGAGTATGGAGACCAGGGCCCTGCCGAAACATCCAGTCAGCCTTCAGCCCAGCCGCGTCAAGCATACGCACGCCATCGCTCTTTCACCAGAGACTTTGAGCCTGACATCTCCCCCGAGGAGCTCTTCAACATTTTCTTCGGTGGCAGGTTTCCCACAGGTATGACCCTCTATTAAACACTACAGCTAACTAAATGGATCACACGTAGTTAGAGGCTTTTTTATGTACATGTCATTAAAAGAAGTATTTAATTTCTGCATCCTGTAAAAGTCATGAGCTGATACTAACTAAATTTTTCAGGTTGCTCTTTTGGAATGGTTTCATCAAATTTCTGTGCTCTCAATTAGGGCTGCACAGGGTTATGTGTGCATTTTGTCAGTAAAGCTGGTTCTGTAATCAGCTGTTAATCTTTAGCATTTGCTTTCAGATGTACTATCATTCATACTATCATGCTTATATATTTTGCTTATATTTTTGTTTTCCAAATTTGATTATCCGTTTTTATATTTTACCTGATATCGATGTTGTTTTAAATATTTGTTTATGCTTGTGAAGCACTTTAAGTTGCATGTTAAGTAGAAAAAGTGCTATACAGATAAAATGTATTATTATTAATATTATGATTATGATTATGATTATGAAAACAGTTACCTCTTCTCTTTATTTAGCCACTGCTAAAGGGATTTCCTTGGTCCTTCGTGGGTGTGTGGAGTTTCTGTGCGAGGGTGCCTTTAGAAATTTAATACTGATCACAGAGATGTGTTTCTCTGACAAGATGTTCATAACAATGAACATGTTTTTTTGTTTGTTTTAGGCAACATCCATGTGTACACTAATGGAGGAGCTTCTTATGCTCATTATTACCAGCCACGCAGACGCCGTCCATTTGAGAGACGAGAAGAGGAGGTGGAGGAGAGCCATAGTACTGTGAGTAGATCTTACTGGACACGAGAATAATATATAGGAAATGTATGGCTGGATAATGAAAACAGACATTTCTGCAGATAGGGAAAATAGGGTTGACTAAAATAATGATTTCTGTACCAATCATTGCTGAAATGTAAAAATTGGACACTAATAGTAATTGACAACCTAATGTAAAACCACTGTAGCACTTTTTTCTTAATAAATGCCTTGTGCCTCAGAACAGTAGACACCGCATCATCACAATCACAGTCTTTTTGAAGGTGGTGATGTGTGAGATCTTAATCACTATAGACTGTCTCTAAGATATATTTCAATTTATGAGCTTGTGATCCATGGGTTGTTTGATCCACTTGTCTGATGATGATATTATTTGCTGTGGTAAAATATTTGGCTTTTTGATGGAGATTTAATTAATTTGATAAAGGTGTGAATTTTTTTATATCAAGTTGATTCAGAATTATTACCCCTTTTGAATTATAAGCTCCCCTGTATATTTTTTCCCAAAATTTCTGTTTAACAGACATTTAAAGTGACATTTAAAGGCTTTACTTGGTTAATTAGATTAACTAGACAGGAAAGGGTAATTAGGCAAGTTATTGTATAATGTTGGTTTGTTCTGTAAACTATCGAAAAAAATATATAGCTTAAAGGGGGTAATAATTTTGACCTTAAAATTGTTTTTAAAAAAAATAAAAACTGCTTTTATTCTAGCCGAAATGAAACAAATAAGGCTTTCTCTATAAGAAAAAATATGATCAGACATACTGTCCATGCTCTGTAGGGATGCACTGATGTGGTTTTTTTTTATAGATAACCTGTAACTATTTAAATTCAGAGGCCGATATGTTATTTGTTTCATATTTTTCTGCATGATTGCAAAAACCAAAGGCAAACACATAAAGTGGACAACTGATTTTATTTTAAAAGCTTACCTTTTTGAAACATTTCAATTGAAAATTTTCCAAACTTGATTAATTGCATTTCTTTTCTATGGACAACTTTTTATTATATAAATAAAATCTACTGACTGAAGCAACCAAGTCACTGAAAAATAGCATGTAGCAGCTGATACCAACATGGCAGCAAGTTATTATTTTTATTTATTTTTTTGCATGTTTAATCTCTCAAAGCTGCTCGATTTAAAGCAAACAACTTTTTAAATAAACACAGATGTGATTTGACATGACTTTACTTGTGTTCCAATGCCAATTTACAGCATCTGATGCAATTATCCTCACCACAGATGCTTTCTTAACCACTGTTTTCTGTACTCTGTAATTTTAGCTGTATATTAGTTTTGTTATTGGGAGAAAAACATGCATTACATATTTGAATATTTCTCTAAACATTACTCTCATATCGGTGAAATCCTCACAATCGAGTATTCAGTGTGAGGGCGAAAGAGTTTACCCTACGCCCCAAATTCACCATGTGAACCAATAGCCTTCTGTGGACGCTCATACATCCCTACATTTCCTCCTTGCAAACTCTTTATTTGTATCTGATGTCCAAACTGCCATCAAGGCCTCTCTAAAAACCTGCTTTCCTTTTTTTTTCTCTTCATGAAGAACAACTTCACCCCTCTCCTGCAGCTGTTGCCGGTGCTGGTGCTCATTGTGATCTCTGTGTTCACTCAGCTGATGGCCACCAACCCTCCCTACAGCCTCTTCTACAAACCGTGAGTCAACTGTAAAGCATCATGCATGATTTAAACCATCCGCTTGAAGAAAACGCCTGATAGTTATACTCGCCATCCTGCAGGTCCATGGGGTTAGTGGTGTCCAGGGAGACTCAGCACATGGGTGTGCCATACTACGTGGATAAGAGTTTTGAGAAGGAGTACCGTGGTGCTGCCCTGGACGAGCTGGAGAAAACCATAGAGACTGACTATATTGATCATCTACAGAGCAGCTGCTGGAAAGAGAAGCAACAGAGTAAGACGTCTTCTTATCTGTTAGCTCAATGACTTTTTAATAATTTAATATAAATCAGCTGCTTTATAAGCAAGTGTCGCTGCAGTGCCTAATTGGGGGGAGTCTCTGCCAATTAGGGGTTTGGGATATTTGGAGTTTACTATAATATCCTAATTCTTTTATACTTAATAAAAACAGAGGTCTACATTGTCCAAGATAGCCCTTAGGATGCCCATAATTCAAGTTCATTCATTCATTTTCCTTTGGCTTATTTATCAGTTCATTTATTTATTAGGGGTCGCCACAGCGAAATGAACCTCCAACTATTCCAGCTTATGTTTTATGCTGCGGATGCACTTCCAGGCACAACCCAGTGCTGACAAACACCTATACACTCTTGCATTTACGCACACACTCATACTTTTCAGCTCTGTTTAAGTTATGTAAGCAAAAATATTCCTGTAAAGTGTTTTTTATTGAAGTAACATTTCATAGTTCCTATTGCTAGAAGTTCCTGAATTTTGGTGTGTTAGGACCAATAGAATTGAAAACCGTTGTAGTTATAGAAATTCCTTTAAGGGGGACTCAATTGCTGTAGCTTCTACTTCGGAGTAAACCAAGTAATCTAACACTAGGGTTGTTCCAAATACGATTTCCTAAGCTTCGAAGATTTTGTCATAATCAGCATTGAAAATTTGAGGCTTTGGAAAATGGGGACTGAAAATATTCTTATCTTTAGTTAGGGCAGAAATCTCTGTGTGTGATTTTTTTATTTTTTATTATGCCGAGAACCGTAAAGTGTCCTCATAGAAAAAGTTGATATAATCTGCAGATGTGTGATCTTGCAGTCTGGCAAAAAAATGTTTGTGTGCATTAAGAGAATTATCATGCTAAATATCGCTTTAAGAAATCCTAATGTCTGTTACCTCGCAAGGTTTTAAAATCAGCCTTAGAGCAATTCCATCCAAATGTCAACCTTGCCATCAATAACAAAATGTTTTTACCAAAATAGTGAAACCCTTTCTAAGTTTTTTTGTGTAGGCTTTTTTCTACAGTACTGTAAAAATACTCCAAAATGTCCATCAAGGTTTTCAAACAATTATATTTGATTTCCCAGTCACACAAGTGGCAATTTCACATCTGTCACATCTATAACTGAGGGGTGTCACATCCATAACAACACGTTTTCCTCATAATTTTCCTCAGTGTCAAATAAAATAAAGTCAATGATTTTTGTTCTATAGTGAGAAACTCTTATCCTTTTTAATTAGTTTTTTTAGGGTTGTGAAGTTTAATTCTGAGAATTTTTACAAAATATGTTGTATACTGTAAACTCAGACTTTTTTGGTCACATCCATAACCCATGTTTATTTCCCTCATTTAAAATATAAAACATGCATACAGATTGATATTGTCTGAACCCATAAATCTGGGTTTAGTTGTTTTGGAGAATATAAGCAGATGTTTCAACATAATGTTAACATGTACTTTGAATTTATGTTTGCGTTTTTACTGCAAATGTCACATCCATAACGCTGGAATTGCTGCTTAGCAGTTGTTTACATTACAACATTTTATCTCCGTTATCACAAAACCCATACCATGAATTTTTTTTACATATTTGATTACCCTACATAAAAAGACTAAAAGCTATGCTGTAAAATTGGTACAAAAAAAAAGGTACCAGTGCTTTTGACAACACACTGTATCAAATCAAATCACTTTTATTGTCGTGTGCTGTGATGAGTGAAAAACCTAGATGCAGGCTCCAGACAGTGCAAAATACAATGACATACATTAAGACTATAGACTTTTTATATATTTGTGATTAGAATACAATTTCACCAGATTACTTGAATCACTCTATTTGAAAATAATTCATCAATTTAGATTGACTGGGACTAATCTGTAGGGAAGTGCAAAGGCACAACATCTAATAAACAATCTACAAGCATAGATAAATACAATAAAGAAAAAGATACAATTAAAATAAACAGTCAGTACGTTTACATGGACACCAAAATTTAGATTTTCCGCACCAAGGGTAATAAATGATACACTGTTGTATCTTCTGCCGTCTTTGGGTCGTTTTCACACCACATGCTGGCTTTGGTCCGAACCAGTTGAAAAGAACCAAAATGCAGTCATCTGACAAAACCCACATCTCTCATTGGCCAGATGTTGTTGAACATATTTCCTAAACTGCTTATTGAATGGTCAGAATTCACGTGCTGGAAAATGCCAATGAACTCCCGCAGGTAAACAAAACTGGAAGACACAAATTGTCGCTTTTTACTATGAAGGGACGACTGTGCTGACTGATTGTTTGCCTGCTGTAGACAAACTATACATTTCGAGAATGAAGTGCAGCCGCGGCTGGAAAACAGGGTTTTAATACATCGCTGGTCACTTCAGGAGAAGGCGTGAATTAATTTAGCTAAACTGTGACATGCTCATCTTGCGGAAATATTTCCAACGATTCATCAGGTAATTTTTTCCCCTCCTCTCTCTCTCTGTTGGTAAAGCGCTGTCAACTAATATTTTTCCTCCATATCCCATAATGCACAGCGCATAAAAAGGAACTCTAGTGCGATTCAATCGAACTAAATAAGGCAGGTGTGAAAGCACCCTAAGAGTCTACCATGTAAACTGCAATTTTTTTTATGAATTTAATTAGATTAAGGTCATAATTGAACTAAACAGAAATAGAATTAAGACGTGGAGTATGTCAATGTTAGTCGCATTATTGAAGTGTAGTACAGACATGTAAACACAGCAATCAAACTATTACCATCATGTAGGATTTTCTCAGCATTTTGCGACAGGATAGTCTATAAACACACAGCTGTTTGACCAGAGACACCTGCATCACGAAATGCTGAGTTTTTTTTTTTCTATACGGCGTGCGGTATAAATTTCCATTAAAACTACACTCTTCCAGCAGTTCATCCAATATCTCGTTTGTCGCAGTGGGAACGCATGAAATGTTCCTGAATGAAAGTGAAACTGCTAAACTGCAGTTAAAGTCGACAAAATAAAAATGAAACACCGAAATTACATGAAACTCTGGAGGAACTGTAGATAGCATGGTGACTCAACGCATTGAATTATGTGCTATAACGTGTGAAACGGGCTCATGAAAGGAACATTCAAAAAGCAACTCATGTAAACATTTTAATCATATTATTGTCTTGTAGACGTAGTCACTGTTTTATCATTTTCCGATTCTAACAGTGTTCGGGAACAGCAATTGAATAATCAGAATACAAATAATTTAATCAAATTCATTGTTATTAAAGTTACAAACAGTACAATTTCTTATATCTGAATGCTTTTAAAAAACTATTATATAGTCACAGGCCTTAAAATTTATGCAAAATGATAAACTATAATCCGGTCTCAACATTATATATCCTCCGATGCAGAAACGTTATTTCACGAGATCACACTTACCGATATTTGACTGAATAGAATAGGCGTATTTGGCGTGCTTTCCGGGGAGAGGGCTCTGAGCTTGGGAAGACATAACTTGTGTTATTCTCCTTATCAGGATAAAGAGAGATCGGGTCCGAGCGCAGTGTCTAGCCCGGCTCCAGAACGCTCCCCCCTCTGATTTAAATGGGTATCGGGTTTAATAGTGTGGAGTTGGGGTGGTGGAGGGACGCTGAAGTCAAGAGAAAACGTAGGAATTACGTGTTCGACTATTTATAGGGTTTTGCTCTTGAGCTGATTAGATAAGAGAATGATTGTGTGTGATGAATTAGCCTTGTCAAGGACTGATCATATTTCCTCCCGAAATTTGTTTATAAAACATCACATTGTGCAGCCCTATTTAAGACAATATTGATTTAAATATGGTCCTACGTAATTAGACTATAAATTGGTGTAGTGTGCAATACTCAAAACTGCTGCATTTCATTTCATTTCAGAATCTGATCTAGCTAACCTAGGCCAGCTTTATCGAGACGAACGGCTGAAGCAGAAGGCAGAGACCATGAAGCTGGATCACTGTGACAAACTGCACCGCTTCATCGGCCGGCAGAGAGGAGACTGAAGCTTCATCGTCCATCCAGACAGCATGGTCAGCCTAATCAAAGAGCTTTTAGTATCAGTTACGGTTATATATTTCAATTTACACGGGTGGGTCACCTTTTTGGGAAGGAGAAAGAAAGGAAATAGATGTGTTTCAGCCCAAGCTGACTTTGTCTTGAGCGTTTGTGCCTTTAATGAGTGCGTTGATGAGGTGAAGTCTGAAGGCCTTTAGCTCAAGCCTCTGATTCAGCTGCGATTGCACAAGCGTATGTGGAAGAAGGTAATTTTTGCACGAGCGCCTGGCATTTTTTTTCCTTATATTAAGGAGTACCGACTCCAGGCTGGCAGATGGGATTAAAGCTAGAGATTGTTGTTTATTAGTCGCAGTTAAGCTTTATTGTTCATAGGAATTTAACTTGTATAGCTCCTATTTAATTTCTTTTTCCTGCATTTGAGCTGTGAATTACTTTTGACAAGACAATTATAACTTTTAAAAGGACGAAAGCTGAATTTATTAGTTTTTTCGGGTATTTAAACCACTACAGATTTTCAAAGTACTCTAGACGTAGCAGAAACCCCTTGTGCACCTTAGTGTTTTGCTCATTTGTTCTATTGCTGTATGTTTTGGACGTTAAATGGCGATTGTTTTAAATCAATGTTTTATTTTCATGAATATCAGCGCACTGACAGACATGTTGAATGCCATTACCTCTCTTATTTATTAACCGACAGTGTTTTATTTATAATTTGGCACTTTATTTGTCTTAACTTAATTGTGTGTTGCATGCTTCCATTCAAGCATTCTCCCTGCCTCGGCACAGTTATTATAACCAGGCAAATAACCGTTACTGAGCATCTGTTTTGAATGTTTTACCTCATGTCACTGAACACTATGTTCTGTATATAATAACATGCTGATCTTTAGCTCAAATCTGAAGAAGCGCTGAAGGAATTATCCTCATTCAGGATGGAGTAGTGGACGTGATGTGGAGAGTTTGTGCCAGTGGTATTGTTGGTGTTGTTTCCATCAGTTTGCAACTGATGGAAGTTTTGTTTGGATTGAGTGCGTTTTGTGCCGCTTAAATAAAACATTAATCAAGTATTTGTTCTCTGTGGTCCAAACTTGAATGCGGGTATGTTGATTTCACTAAGTATTAGGTCATTGTGCCAATATGAAGCATTTATAATATATATATATATTTTTTTTTTTGAAAATTTGATGACAAAATGAGTTATTTCCTTAAAAGTGCCATATACTGCATTGATTCAATAAGTATAGTTGTTCTCTGATATGTAAATGGTAGATATCTGCCTTAGGTAAGTAAAAAAAATCTTCAGAAACAATTTTAAATGGTTATTTATTACTCCATGTAATGTCTCTTGAATCAGATGCTCCTTATTGACCATATTTGGAATGGTCCTGAATAATAATGAGCTCTGCTCTGAGCTGGTCTCAGTGTTCTCTCTCTCTTACCCACACTCCCACAGCATGATGTACTCTGAAATAAACACATGCAAAATATTTTAACAAATGGAGTAGATACCATGTTAAATCTTGAGATATCTAATATAAATCACCAGAGTAACCTATTTTGCCCTCGAGTTATATTGTAATTAAACTAGCCTAAAGAGACAGACAGATTTGCATTGTGTTGTATTTTGTAGCTATACTGTAAAAGTAAACACTGCCAGGAATTAGTATCAACTTCTGCATAAACAGATGACGTTTTAAGTATATTGCTATTATTTGACTTTATGTAAATTGCAATAGGAACTGAGTGATAAGACAAGATCCTTAAATGTGCATTAAACAATACTTCGCAGTCTACATGTGTTTGTTGCCTCAAGTTAAAAACATATCTGGAAGATTTCACAATAAACATGATAAAAGGGTTAAATAAACATTCCCTGTGGTTCTTCGAGGTAAATTTATAATCTGTATATCCAGTATTTTGGGTTCTGACAAGCTTTAAAGTGATGACTGGTTGAGGGTTTAGTAATGCACAGAAAACAAACTTGTACAACTGGCTTTGACTTTGCTCTCCCTTTCAAAATAAGAGTCCCACATACAGAGTAAGTTTAAAATTAACTTTGATACTTAAAAATATGGAAGACCTTCATTGTTGTATTCGCAAAACATAGCCTGAGGTGCAACAAATCTGTCTGTGTATTGGCTGCTTATCTCCTGCAGACATGGTTGCTCGCCAGCTATGGATGACACAGAACTTGATCTAGAGTTAGTGCTGTACGATTCTGGCTAAAATGAGAATCAAATTTTTTTTTTTTTGCTTAAATATGAGTGGGCTATTATTATTGTTATTCTCAAACATATGGTTAAACAACAATAATATTAGGCCTATGTGTAGGTCTACTGTTGGTTAAAATGCTAAGTTTTGTATAGACATGGAATAGTGGACTTGAATAGACTTTCAATTTGTCCTAGCTGTTAATGCACAGTAAAGTGAGGACATCAGAATGCAACTATTCATAATTCTAATGTTGAATTATTATCTTTGAGACATGATCATTTATGTGATATATGCGCTTCTTGGTTTAACTTTCGCTGCCGAGTGCAGCTAATGTCATGGCTGCCATCACTGTAAGGAAAAAACACACGTGCTAGTCATACTTCCCATGCGGCTCTCAAAAGATCGCTCTGTGCAAAAATCTAAATGTTATTTACAACTTTATTATGCAGACTTCATTCATGGGCATATGCGTGTCCTCTCAGTAGTAAACACGCAGTGCGTCAGCTCACATGTCATTTCGCAGCCGCGAATACATGATTACATTAAGACAGAAATGACATTTTTGGGTGAATTATACCTTATAAATACAGTATGTGATTTTTTTAACGCCATTTGGAGGTGTAACGTATGAGCAACGTATGTAAAACAATGTGAAGACTTGTGCTACCTCCTTTATGCTTCTCCCGAACTTGAAATTATAATTGGCTGAATCGTAGAGATGCTGGATTAAGATCGTGTGGGGGTCAAATCGAAATTGTGATCTTTTTTTCGATTAATCGTGCAGCCCTACCTACAGTACATGCAAATCTTAAGTCACGCAACAATCTGTTTTGTCTTCTGATTATCCTGCTTTTCAACAGGGTTTTACACTCATGGAATTTACATGAGAACAAGTAAGCAATGGTGTTTGAGGCTGTATGGCCTTTTCCATGTAATGAACACTTATTGTTTGACTATGCATTGGTTTAACCACATTTTCTTTACAGCACCTTTAAATGGATGTAAATTGTCACCAAAGATCTTTAATAAATAATGACTTAAACATTGGTATAAAATTTTTGATTGTGAATAAAAAAAGTTTCCCCTCAGTGTCAGTATAGGACATGTGTTTACATGTCGCGATTGGTTCTGCCTCTGACGTATTACCTCGGATGCTCCTGTGCTTTAAGTTCTAACAGAGAAAGTTGCGCTTTGGCATCAGAGGGGGTATACATCACTGCAGAGTACATCTATGTACAATATACTGACACTGAGGGAAGAAAATGTTGAATAAAGTAGTTCATTTAGTTTTATGTGCACTCAAAAGTATTCGTTTAGCTTGATTATTATTGTAGTTAAACCACTGAAGTCCGTATTTTCAGTTTCGAGGATTTTTATTTTATTTTTTTGCCGTTTTTCTTGATGTTAGAGTTGGGAACCTTGCTATCTATGGAGTATGAAGGAGTTGTCAGATTTCCCCTAAAATATCTTAATTTGTATTCCAAAGACAATGAAAGGTTTCGGGTTTGGAAAGATATGAGGGTTAGTAATTCTAACAAAATGCTCATTTTTGGGTGAACTAATATCGTAATCAGTAATATTCACTCATAAAAAGGTCATGAACTTTTTGGCCTTTCGTCAGGTTTATTCCCAGTCATTCATCAATACCTATAAAGGCACTATTCGTACACAAAACATCCTAAATATGTAACAACACACACTCACCTTACAATAACAACAACAACATACAGACACAAATACGCACACTCAGATTTTGAGGCGAACTTCTAATTGTCCAATGTCAAACACCAAGCTCCCGTGAAACCCTCATAAACCTGGCTGTTTGAGATGTGGTTTAGACAGATTGTCTTATGCGGTCTTCATCAGTCAGTCTCTCTTGTGTGTGTTTCAAAGGAGGTCAATTATCGCAGACTCATTTCTTCATCTTCAGGTCTGCTTCTATAGCGCAACGTCGCCCCCTTGTGCCTCCATCCTACAGAAACCAAGAAAACAGTTCCAAAGATATCAGCATTTTAAATGTATGACAAACAGATTGTTTGATTACAAATACATTTTTAACTAATTGCACATTGCCACCTACTGGTGAAACTGGTGTCATTTGATTTACTTTTTGATCGCCGCCATAGAAATCACATGTTAAATATGTAACAGAGGCCAGCTAGTAAAGTGCTATGCAGGTTAACCTCACTCTGACCTCTATAGGTGCTCTATCGACAGACATTAAAGGCCATGGTCTTTAGACTCCTTGTTAGAGCAACCAACTAACAATGCAAAGAATCGCCAGTTCGATCTCAGCTCAGACCGGGTTGGGTGCAGTTGGACCAGTGGACCAGACATTTTTATCCTAGTATTTTGATGATGATTTGACAGCTTGAAGTGCAAATAACAATAATGTGTAGTTGAAAACCAAGCATTGCAATAGCTACACATGACTGCTCAAACACAGTCTTGAACGTCAGCGATTAATAAATCATTGCAAAAAAAGCATCGTCATTTAGGAACAAGACTGTGTGTTTTTATTGAGTCACATTTTTACTGCTGCTTTTGAGAAATACTTTAAAGTTCATCAAGCTGGAAATCAAATTTGATGATTGTATGGAAAATGTAGTTTCTTTGGTCAAAAGCTAAGTTTCCATCCACCAATTTTTATGCGCATTTTGGATATGTGCGTACAATAATGGTTGATTTGGGAGACCACATGGGAAAGTGGTGTTGATGAGACCAGTAGGGTGCACTCAACCTGTAATTGTGTGGTTCCTTATGCCCTAGTAAATTGATGCTGAATTATTACTGCTCAATGAGCGCCGTCTTACAGATGAGACATTAAACAGAGGTCCCCCTGACTCTATGTGGTCATTAAAAATCCCAGAATGACCTTCAAATGACCCCTAATCCCAGGTTAGGGGTTTAACCTCGGCATCCTGGCCAAATTTGCCCACTAGCATCTGTCCATCATGGCCTCCAAACCGTCCTCATATCTAAATTGGCTTCATCTCTCTGTCTCCTCTCCACCAATTAGCTTGTGTGTGGTGTGCACTCTGGCTCAATATGGCTGCTGTAGCATCTTCCAGGTTGATGCTGCACACTGGTGGTGGATGAGGAGATTCTCTTCAAAAATGTGTAAAGCACACTGAGTGTCCAGAAAAGCATTATATAAATGTAAGAAAGTATTATTATTATTATTATTATACAAAACGTATGTGCATACCTGAGTAGGATAAACTTTTTATTCGAAAAGGAAAGATGCGCATAAACTACGATGGACACACTTGTACAATACAAATTCCAGTATGCGTATTAAAGTAATGTGTTTTTGTTATGAGATCTTGTGATGATTAAAAAATGTGTGTGAATGGACAAACCAGCAGACTGAGCACATTGTAAAACATCTAAAGTGTTGTTTTGGTCATTCTAAATTGCCTTAAGCTTTTCAGTATTAGTGTCATTATATTATTAATTACCTCCAGAATTGTCAAGAGTTCTGTGTCTGACGCCTTCAATTGCCACCATAGATTCATTGCGTGTCATCGTTGTCTTCTGAGGTGCAGATCATTTAATAAATAAATAAAAGATTGATGCAGCTTCTCATACCGCAGCAAATTCCATTTTTACTGTTGATGTTTGGCGCCAATTAATCAGGAAGTGATGATTTTGTTCTCTTTGACTCATTGGATGGAAACGCTGCTTTTTTCACACATCTTTCATGCAATACTCCAGTTTTGTGCATAATTTTAATTTGGATCCTTGGATGGAAACATAGCTAATGGCATCCAGTAAACAAAAATGGTGATTCAGTTGCCATATCAGCCAGTATATTGTTTATAATGCTTAGACAGACAGGATACTCACAAAGAGAGAAAGAAGGAATGCAGGAGAGGCCATTGGAACACAGTCCTGTGAGAGGACAGAGAGATAAAGACACTCAAAACTCATATGCAGAAGCAATTTAAAGGTGGACTGTCCACTGAAATAGAATAGAAAAGAAGAAAGAGGAGTCTGTGTTCGATTATCAGCACAGTGATCTGTAGACGGTGTGACTAATGCAGGAAGGGTAACACCGTTTTTTCAGTCATCGGATCACTGTTGTTTTTACACTGTACGATTATCTGGGGTAGTGTTCAATTGCTGCTGTGTTCACATTGGATGACAGAGGGTGAAATGAGGTTATACACTCCATGACTATAGCAAACTACGTTTCATAGTTTAACTCAGCTCACCTCCATTCCCACCTCCATATTTTCATGGCCATGTGCTTGGCCCTATTCACTGCAGAGGAGATTAAAGTTGCTTGATTTACATGTCAATTCATCAACTTACACACATGAAAGTGTCTGTTTAACTGGGAGAAGAATAGAATTCTGTTTGCCTAAACGTTGTATTTCTGTTGTGAATGACACATTGGCAAAGTATACAAGAAATTATTGTTGTTGTCATCTTCCATAGACATCATACATTTTCAGCATTATCTCTCAAAGCTGTTGCATTTTTACATTCCTGTGAGATCTCTTAGATCCATAGATCAAAATCTTCTTTTAGTTCCCAAGTCAAGACTGAAACATGAGGGGACAGAGCTTTTTCTGTGGCGGGTCCTTGAATATGGAAAACCTTGCCCCTTGAGATTAGAACAGCTCCATCACTATCGATTTCAAGAGTTCACACTTAGCTGATGATTGATAATATTTGAATGCATATTTGGCATGGTGTCCTGGGAGAGAGCCCTGAGCTCAGAAAATCCTCGAGCCCGGGGTTCCCTCCCATTAGAAGGGCGAGAGGGGAGTTTGAGCTTAGGTAGGTTTCAAGAACTCCACTGCTTGTAAACGTGCTGAGAAGTGTCTGGCTAATAGTTGTCTTAAGATGCTATTTTGGAATACTCAATTTATTTATGGTGTATGTCTTTGGACAGTGGAATGAAACTGGAGAACCTGGGGGAAACCTACACAAACATGGGGAGAACATGCAAACTCCGCACAGAAACGCCAACCAGCCTGGTGAGGGGCTGAACCAGCAGCATTCTTGCTGTAAGGCAACAGTGCTAACCACTGGGCCGCCCAGTCAGAGAAGGATAGGAGTAGGGGTAGAAGGGGGGATTCTTCAAGACGAAGATGACTGAAGTGGAAAACTCTGGTTATTTTTAGTGCGTCAGTATTCATCTGATTGGTGCAATATACAGAGTTGATGCAGTGCCAGCCGTGTTCAATCATGCATGTGATCCTCTCGAAATTAGTTCATAAATAGATCACACTTTTAAATCACTCCTAAAAACGTACCTTTTTAGTTTGGCTTTTTAATTTTATTTTAATATTACTTTATACTGCTACACTTTTAACATTTTTTCAGTTGTTCTGTCTTTTCATTTTACTTTGTCTTATTTACAGTACTTTAGTCAGTCTTGTGACTGTTTTTAAATGTGCTCTATAAATAAATGAACTTCAACTTGATTTGCATAGTATTTTAGATGCTTTTCTTTTCTTGAGTGAAACAAAGTAGCACAATTGTTTTCAGCAAGTTTGATAATAAAAAAATATTTCTTGAGCAGCAAATCAGCATATTGCAACTTTCTGAACCATCACAGACATTTTCCCAGTGTATTTAAATATATACAGTTGAAGTCTGAATTATTAGCCCCTCCCGTAATTTTTTTACCCAATTTCTGTTTAATGGAAAGAAGTCTTTTCAACATATTTCTAAACATAATAGTTTTAATAACTCATTTCTAAAAACTAGGTTAATTAGGCAAAGCAGGGTAATTAGGCAAATCATTGTATAACGATGGTTTTGATCTGTAGACAATCAAAATATTGCTTAGGGGGGTTAATAATATTGACCTTAAAATGGTTTAAAAAAATAAAAAACTGCTTTTATTCTAGCTGAAGACTTTCTCCAGAAGAAAAAATATTATAGGACATACTGTCAAAACTTTCTTGCTCTGTTTAACATCTTGTGCGAAATATTTGGAAAAAAATAAATTCACAGGACGGCTAATAATTTTAACTTCAACTGTAAATTACTCTATTTAAATATAAATGATGTTTCATCAAACAATAAGAATCTCATAAGAATCTACTTTCAAACGCATAAAAAAGCCCTGCCTTGTCGTTGGGGTCCTGTTTGCGGTTGGCCTCTCTGCCTCGCAGGCTCTTGGCACTGATGCCTGACTCTGAGGTCTGCATGATCAGCTGCGTGGCCAGAAACTGCTGGATCTGCTCCAGAACGTCCCTCTGCATCTCCACGGCCATGTGGAAAACATCATGATCTGAGCTGTTGTACATCACTGCGTTCTGGAACATAAGCATGATGTCGCGCTGGAACTCGGCCGTTGTGCGGATCAAACCGTTCTCAATGTTCTTCTTGATCGTGGACAGATCCATCGGCCTAAGAGCACAAAATCGAAACATTTAAATGACATATAACACATTGGATTGATTTTGGTTGCACTTTAATTAACGTTACAACTACTTAGTGTATTTACCTAAGAACTTATACACCAGGGATCACCAAACTTAATCCTGGAGGTCCAGTGTCCTGCAGATTTTAGCTCCATCACTAATCAAACACACCTGAACAAGGTCTTACTAGGTATACTTGAAACACCCAGGCAGGTGCGTTGAGGCAAGTTGGAGCTAAACCCTGCAGGGCAATGGACCTCCAGGAACGAGATTGGTGACCCCTGTTATACTTGATACATTGTGCTCTGGGAAAAATGTAGCGATATTATCAGTTAATGTCAGGACTATGACAAGAAGTACATGGGAAACAGGAATATTTATTTTGATTGTATGTCCGACTCTTTTTATTGACATCAAGCACAAGTGGAATCTTTTGATAAAGGCAGAAGTATACTTTAGTTTTTAAAAAACATAGTCAGTGGTGTAAAGTACCAAATTACAAATACCCAAACTACTGTAATTAAGTATATTTTTTTCTCAGAAATTGTAATTTATTAAATAGATTTATAAATGTGTACTTTTACTTTCCCTTGAGTACATTTTTAGCTCAGTACCGGTACTTTTACTCCACTACTTTCCTTCAATCTGCAGTCACTACTTTATTTTTTCTTGTCTATGTGGATTAGAAAAATCAGTCCTGTGAATTCTGTCCAATCAAATCGCACATAGAAGGTAAATCGCATCATAATGAACGTTCGAGGTTACAGAAGTAACCCTTCGTTCCCCGAGGAGGGGAACGGAAGTGCCATGAATGGGAGGATTCGGATCAGAAGCCGCTTATCTGGAGAGTATTGAACGGGCCAATGAATGAAATTAATTGGCAGCGTAAGCTTGCGCAGGTGTGCGACATCTGCAATCATCTCAGCATATAAGCACACCTGAAGCCAGCAGACGCCATCCTTTTAAGCTGAAGAGACTTTCAAACAGCTAAGGGACAGTCATTATGGCGACGGAATATGGCACTTCCGTTCCCCTCCTCGGGGAACGAAGGGTTACTTCTGTAACCTCGAACGTTCCCCTTCGGTTGGGGAACTTCAGTGCCATGAATGGGAGAATATGGAAAGCGCCATAATGACTGCACCTTACCAACACCCCCGATGAGGAGATAGTCAAGCAAGCGTGACGCACCCACATCATGGGGGGCGCGGTCCTCCAACGTGTCCCTGCCTAATTTATCCTACTTCAACAGAAGTTTTACGGATTTAGATATATTTTTTGGGAAGTCGTGAGCATCTAGATAATTCTAGGAAATACGACAGTACGTTGGGAAGCGTGCAATCCCGATAGGGAGGACGCTGCGGAGGCCATCCGTTACCCAAGGGGGGGATAGATGGCAGAATTTACCTATGGACTAGCCCTAAAAAGGGGGAGTACGCATAGCAAAGAGTGGTTAGCGGAGAGGGAAGACACGGGTCCGCCCAGGGGGGGGACTTAACCGTGGCGGAATAAGCATATGGGATCGCCTAGTGGGGATCACGCATAGCAGGCACCTATACCCAAAACGCGGGCTGACCAGCGGGCAGACCTACAACGTAGTGGGCCAGCAAGTGACTCCTCCGCTGAGTCAGTGCTGGGGGCCACGGAGGAATCTGCAGGGCTCACCTGACGGGGAACTTTACTGACAGATAAAAAAGGCGCACGTACCTCCGTGTTAGGGAGAATGGCGCAGCAAGCGTGTTTCAACACCCTACCGAGTTGTCTCCTCAATCACCAAAGGGTTACCTAATACCCTTGAGGAAACCGGCTCCACTCGCAGATTGTAAAACCTTGCAAATGTGTTGGGTGTCGCCCAGCCCGCAGCTCTACAGATGTCTGTTAGAGAGGCGCCGCGTGCATGCGCCCAAGAGGATGCAACGCTCCGAGTGGAGTGTGCACGTACTCCCGGGGGACACGGCTGACCTCGACTCGAATAAGCGAGTGAAATGGCATCCACAATCCAGTGGGATAATCTTTGTTTCGATACGGCACTTCCCTGCTGCCGACCGCCATAACAGACAAAGAGCTGCTCAGATGATCTAAAATTCTGAGTACGGTCCACATAAATGCGCAGAGCGCGAACTGGACAAAGTAAAGAAAGGGCTGGGTCTGCCTCCTCCGGGGGCAGCGCTTGCAGGTTCACTACCTGATCTCTAAAGGGGGTGGTAGGAACCTTGGGCACATAACCGGGGCGGGGTCTCAGGATAACGTGAGAGTAATCCGGCCCGAATTCCAGGCACGAGTCACTGACCGAAAATGCCTCCAGGTCCCCGACCCTCTTGATGGAGGCCAACGCAACCAGCAGAGCTGTCTTCAGGGACAGAAATCTTAGAGATACTGATTCGAGTGGCTCAAAGGGATCGGATCGCAGACTCGTGAGAACGAGGGCGAGATCCCAAGAGGGCATGAGAGGGGGGCGAGATGGATTAATTCGCCTAGCACCCCTAAGGAACTGGATGACCAGGTTATGCTTTCCCACGGTGCCGCCAGCTACCGCGCTATGATAAGCGGAGATGGCGGCCACGTAAACCTTGAGAGTGGAGGGCGACAGCCTGCTGTCCAACTTCTCTTGAAGGAAAGAGAGCACAACACTAATCTGGCAATTTCGGGGGTCTTCTCTGCGAGAGACGCACCATTCAGTGAATAGACTCCACTTCAGGGCGTAGGCGCGCCTCGTGGAGGGGGCTCTAGCCTGAGTGATGGTATTAACCACCGCAGTCGGTAGGTTACCTAAGTCTTCCTCGCGTCTAGGGACCACACGTGGAGGTTCCAAAGATCGGGGCGAGGGTGCCAGATGGTGCCCTGTCCCTGAGAGAGTAGGTCCTCTCTCAAAGGGATCCGCCAGGGGAGGGCCGTCGCGAGGAGTGAGAGCTCTGATATCCAGGTCCGGTTGGGCCAAAGGGGCGCAACTAGCAGAACCTGTTCCTCGTCCTCCCTGACCTTGCACAGAAACTGCGCGAGCAGGCTCACTGGGGGAAACGCATACTTGCGCATGCCCCGAGGCCAGCTGTGGGCCAGTGCATCCGTGCCGAGAGAGCCCTCGGTCAGGGAAAAAAACAACTGGCAGTGAGCGTTCTCGGGGGAAGCAAACAGATCGATCTGGGCCTCCCCGAATCGCGCCCATATCAGCTGAACAGACTCGGGGTGGAGTCTCCATTCTCCAGGGCGTAACAGCTGTCGTGAGAGCGCATCGGCTGCACGATTGAGCGTGCCTGGGACGTGAATGGCGCGCAGCGATTTCAGCCGCGGGTGACTCCAGAGGAGCAGACGGCGGGCGAGCTGAGACATGCGGCGAGAGCGCATACCCCCCATGCGGTTGATATACGCCGCCGCCGCCGTACTGTCCGTCCTGACCAGCACGTGTTGCCGCTCCAGCACCGGTAAAAAGCGGTGGAGAGCGAGGAACACTGCCAACAGCTCTAGGCGATTGATATGCCAATGCAGCTGGGCACCCTTCCAGAGGCCCGCAGCCGCATGCCCGCGACACACGGCCCCCCAACCCGTGTTGGAAGCGTCTGTTGAAACAACAACATGGCTGGACGCCTGTCCTAGAGGCACACCGGCCTGTAGGAACGAGGGGTCGTTCCAAGGGCTGAGGGCGCGGCGACACAGCGCAGTAACCGAGACCCGGTGTGTGCCCGCGTGCCATGCGCGTCTGGGGACCCGATCGTGAAGCCAGTGCTGAAGTGGTCTCATATGGAGCAACCCGAGCGGCGTGACGGCGGCTGCGGATGCCATATGCCCCAGGAGCCTCTGAAAGAACTTCAGTGGGACCACTAGTTTGCTGTCGAGCTCCCTCAGACAGTTCAGCAACAGGCGAGCGCGTTCCTCGGAGAGGTGCGCTACCATGGTGATCGAGTCCAGCTCCATCCCGAGAAAAGAAATCCTCTGCACGGGGGCGAGTTTGCTCTTTTCTCGGTTGACCTGAAGCCCCAGTAGGCGGAGATGCCGAAGCACCTCGTCCCTGTGCATAATCAATTGCTCCCGCGAGTGGGCTAAAATCAGCCAGTCGTCGAGATAATTGAGTATGCGAATGCCCGCGAGCCGAAGGGGCGCTAGGGCACCCTCCGCGAGTTTGGTGAAGACCCGCGGAGACAGAGAGAGCCCGAAGGGGAGGACCTTGTACTGCCACGCTCGACCCTCGAACGCAAACCGCAGAAATTGGCGGTGGCGTGGAAGAATGGAGACATGGAAATACGCGTCCTTCAGGTCTATGGCTGCAAACCAATCCCGAGGACGAACGCATTGGAGAATGCGCCTCTGCGTGAGCATTCTGAACGGCAGCTTGTGCAGACAGCGGTTCAAAACGCGCAGATCTAGGATTGGCCGTGACCCACCGCTCTTTTTGGGTACGATGAAGTATGGGCTGTAAAACCCACTCTCCATCTCGGCTGGAGGAACCGGCTCGATTGCACCCTTCGCCAGGAGGGCAGCAATCTCCTCTCGCAAGACAGGGGCGGACAGGGGGTTGACCCTGGAGAAATACACGCCCGTAAACTTGGGGGGCCGTTTCGCGAACTGAATCGCGTAACCGAGTCTGATTGTGCGTATGAGCCACCGCGAGGGGCTGGCCCGCGCTAACCAGGCAGGCAGAGCCCTCGCTAATGGAGTCATCGCTACAATCGCTGACGTACCAGCGGTGGGGCAGCGCGGAGTGGGTGTGCTGATCCGGGAAGCACGAGGGTCCCGCGGAAAAGCTGGAGGAGAGCGATTCGCTCTGGCTCCGCACCCTGACTCCGGAGAGGGGGCTGGAGGGCTGAGGGAAGGGAGACCGTCCCCCCAGCGCTCGTGAGCCACTGGCGAAGCACGTAGAGTCTGCGAGCCGGAAGGCAGCGCGTCCCGGACTGGCAGAACTCGTGCAGTCACATCCGGGGAAGGGAAAAAGTGCTCTTTTACTGATGTTTTGGTGGCACTGAAAAGTACCGTTGTTATCGGGGCCCCGCCCTCCAGCGGGGAAAGAGCAAGTTTCCTCTTCTCCGGATGGCCTGTCTCAGGGACGCTTCGCGGTCCGTTTACCGGACTTAACGGCGCCCTGGGCAGGAGGGGCTGCCTGCTTTCGAGGTGAACGCCGCGCCCGCTTGGCCGGAGGCGCAGGCGGGGGCGGGGCAGCACTCGTTGGCGGGCGCCTTCGGCGAGGAACAGCGGAGGTGGATGGCTCGGCGGGCGGAGCGGGCTTACGGCCACGCCGATAGATGACATTGCCCATCGCATCCGACTGCTCTTTCACCGCCTTGAATTCCTGGGTGAATTCACCGACGGTGTCGCCGAACAGGCCAGCCTGGGATATGGGCGAGTCAAGAAAGCGAACTTTGTCAACGTCGCGCATATCGGCCAGGTTTAGCCAGAGGTGGCGTTCCTGAACCACAAGTGTGGACATCGTCCTCCCCAGCGCACACGCGGCGGACTTAGTAGTCCGAAGAGCATAGTCGGTCGCGGTGCGCAGCTCATGTAATAAGCTTGGGTTGGACCCGCCCTCGTGCAGCTCGGCCAGCGCCTGCGCTTGGTAGCGCTGGTAGGTGGCCATCGCGTGCAAAGCAGAAGCAGCCTGGCCCGCAGCCTTATAAGCTCTGGCTCCGAGGGAGGCAGACAACCTACAGGCTTTGGACGGGAGGCGGGGCAAACCCCGCCACGTAGAGGCGCCGCGCGGACAAAGATTGACCGCGATAGCGCGCTCCACTGACGGGATCGCCTCATACCCCCTGGCAGCTCCGCCGTCAAGGGCGGTGAGGGCGGAGGCACTCGCAGCACGGGCAGAGAAAGGTGCCCTCCAGGACTGCGTGAGCCTACTGTGCACTTCCGGGAAGAAGGGGACGAGAGGCTTCGAAGGCTTCGCCTTCTGGTCCTCTACGTAGCACCCATCTAGTCGGTCCGGCCGCGGAGCTGGGGGATAAACCATCTCCAACCCCACGGCCGAAGCAGCCCGGGAAAGCACGGCTAACATGTCCGCTTCAGGATCCGATTTGACAGCGCTCACCTGCCCGGAGGGGGCGAGCGGGTCCGGATCTTCGTCGGACAGTGAAAGCCCACCCTCCGATGCCGCGGAGGACATCTGATCTCCGGTGTCAGCGAGTGTGAGAGCTACCATCTGGTTAGACGGATCACTCTCACCACCCGAAGCTTGGATGGAGCGCCGTGAGGAGCGAGAGGTCCGCGAGCCCGTGGGCGGCGGATTAGCTCCCGCTGAAACCCTCAGATCTGCCCGAGCGCCCGCTGCTTTTTTAGAACAGGAGGCAACTGGGGTGGCTCGCTCTCTTGCGAAAGTTAGCCGCGATCTTAGCTGTGCAACGGTCATGGCATCGCAATGACGACATGAACCGCCCGCGAGCACCGCATTAACATGCTGGACCCCCAAACATGCAATGCAGTGATCGTGTCCATCATCCGGAGACAGGAAACCCCCGCATCCAGAAACGCACAGTCGGAGCGCCATCCTGAAAAGGACGTGCTGCACGACTGTGTTGCTCTTTTAGGAAAGTTGCAACTATACGCACCGCTCTGGAGGACCGGACCCAAAGAACCGCAGGCAAGGGAGTAACCCAGCTCGACCGTCTGCCACCGCGAAGACCCACTCTGGACCGGGAGACACACTCGTTCGCTCTGAAGTGCTGATCAGCAAGAGGAACCCTCATCGACTCACTCAGAAAGGATCTGAAGCGAAAAGGATGGCGTCTGCTGGCTTCAGGTGTGCTTATATGCTGAGATGATTGCAGATGTCGCACACCTGCGCAAGCTTACGCTGCCAATTAATTTCATTCATTGGCCCGTTCAATACTCTCCAGATAAGCGGCTTCTGATCCGAATCCTCCCATTCATGGCACTGAAGTTCCCCAACCGAAGGGGAACTACATCAAGACATGAGTGATTTATAATTGCAGCAACTGTTTGAAAGCAATAAAAGTGTCTAAGAACATGTCCAAAATCTTTACACGCACTGACTCTGCAGCTGTGTAGATGCATGTCACTGATGAGAAGATGACGGATGTTAACTGTATGAAGAGCGAAATAGACACAAGACGTCAACATGATGTCAGATTGACGTTGTACCCCAACCTCATGGAGACGTTTTTCGTTTTGTTTTGAAATGAAAATTGGGTTGACAACTGAACCCAACGTCCCACCTAAAATCAACCAAATATCAACATCTAATGATGTGACAGTTTGATGTTGTGTGGACGTCACCAATATGACGTCTATCAGACGTAGGATTTTGGTTGCCATACCTGATGAATAAATGTCAGTATTTGACGTCAATATAGCGCTGGTTTAAGATGTTGGCTTGATGTTTGATTTGTCACTTTCAAACACAACCTTAAATCAACCAAATATCAACGTCATTTGACAACATTATTGGACGTCAAAATAATGTTGTCCTAAGATGCTGACTAGACATAGAATTTTTGTCATCTGTCATCACAACCTAAATCTAACCTAATATTAATGTCTTACAATGTTGTTTGCCTGCTGGGCAATAACTAAATACACTACAGAATGTTACGTTTACACACAAACACAAATGACATGTGAATGCGTCAGCTTTCTACAGCATAATACTCACTACTCTTGAGTACTTTTTAAAAGGGCTTCTTTTCACTTCTACTTTAAGTATTTTTACAACAGATACTTTTACTCTATTTGCACTGTATTTTTAGGTGCTTTTACTTAAGTACGATTTTCAGTACTCTTTCCACCACTGCATACAGTGCAGTACACAACCCTATTTCGACTGTGTGCATATGGCCAGCCATTTTATCTGTTTTATCTATATTATGCGCTAGTATCTATTTTCATGCTACTTGCACTCATTCATTAGCTGCTAGCATGTTTTCCATCACATACTTGTGCTTATTCGTTATGTACTACTAGGTAATTTTTTATACTAGTAATCATTCATTAGTTAATTTTCATTAGATAAAAGTACTTTTTTGATTTCACACTTAAAAAACATATATGAATTATGCATATGAAATAGAGTTTCATATCATGGTTTAGACAAAACCGAGTACTAGTACTTTAAGAAATAGTACTCCTACATTTAAATGAATTACTAGTAACAGTGAAAATACTAATAGTCAATATCTTAATGACATTTTACAAATGTTACTAGTAACAACATAATATTTAATGCTAAAAAACTAGTATCTAATGAATAAAAACTAGTATCTATTAAATCCATTTATAAACTAATACTGTTAAGTACTTTTAACTAAAGGAAAATAACTAGTAGGTAATGAATGGTAATGTTTAATTATCCAGTTTTTAATGGAAAAGATATTAGCATCTAAAAAATAGGCAATACAGTACTATGTTTTATAGATGCGCTAATATATGCATAAGAAAATACCTTATACCTTACAAAGTAACTTTGGCTAAATATCCATGAGGCATACACTCACTCTATTTGCTAATCTTTTGGATTTAATACAATTTTCTCTCACCTGTGCACGATACTGTGGTAGCCAGGAGCGATGTCATCAGTAACCGGTTGCAGGAAGACATTTGCATACCTGTTCAAAATGACCCATTATTACTTCATTTATGATTAAAAACTTTAGATATGCCAAGATATCCAGTAATACTGTAAGTGTAATATAAATATTCAGTGTTTTAATTAAATGAGGCAGTCCGCATTTGGTAAAGTCATTGCAGCTGCCGTTAAGAAGTTCTGGTGAGCACAGAACAGAATTTCAGCAAAAAGTTGGGTGGGCTTACTGAAAACCCTCACCTGTGATTGGCTGCTGCTCGCCACACCAGCATAATGGCTTTCTTCCAAATCTTCTGAGCCTGAATGGCTTCTTGGTCTTCACTGCAGATAGAGCTGAGGAAAAGGAAGATGGTATTATGTAATGGTAACATGATTCATTCTAGTGTCAGAGCAAAAAAGCTTTTTTTGGGTTAAAATATAATCATCAGAAGTATTTACGATTTAAAGTGACATGATATGAAGGTTGGAATTTGTCATTTTCCTATTATGACATACAAAAAGGTGGTTTGCCATCTCCAGGCTGGAGGTCCTTATTCAGAGTGGAGGAGTTCAAGTATCTTGGGGTTTTGTTCATGAGTGAGGGAAGGATGGAGAGTGAGATTGACAGGGGATTGAAATGCAGTCGATGTACCAGTGCGTTGTGGTAAAGAATAAGCTAAGGCGAAAGGCAAAGCTCTCAATTTACCGGTCAATCTACGTTCACATCTATAGTCATGAGCTTTGGGTCATGACCGGAATGACAGGATCTCGGATACAAGTAGCTGAAATGAGTTTCCTAGATAGAGTGAGAAACTCGGAAAGTGTCACCAGGAAGAGCTCGAAGTAGAATTGCTGCTCCTCCACATTAGGAGAAGTCAGCTGAGGTGGCTCAACCATCTGTTTCAGATCCCTACTGGACGCCTACTTATGAAGGCCTCGAGGAAGACCCAGGACACGCTGGAGGGACTACCTGGCCTGGGAACGCCTCGGGATCCCCTGGAGAAGCTGGAGGAAGTGTCTGGGGAGAGAGGAGCTTGGGGTTCTCTCTGAAGACTGCTGCCCCTGCGACTCAGCCCCGAAAAAGCGGACGAAAATGAGAAGAAATGACAGAGTAAAACGGCTGGGATGTTATGTAGGATGAAACTTAATTTCGCCCAAAGGAAAAAAAAGAAAATGTTGAACTTTTGATTTTTATTTTCGTATTCTGAGAAACGCAACCTCAGAGAAGAAATGTTGTGCTAAAAGGGATGTTTTGATCCACTCTGGGGGGATTTTGAGTCTTAGGGTGTTATCACGTCTGTAGTTTGCTTCATTTGGTCTGGACCAAGAGCAACAAATGATACATTGTAGCATTTTCTGCCGTTTTGAGTCCTTTTCACACCACACTGATTGCTTTGATCCGACCAGTTGAAAAAAACCAAAATGCTGTCATCTGACAAAGCTCACATCCCTGATCGGCCAGATGTTGTCAAACGTATTTCCTAAACTGCTTTTGATTTTTCAGAATTCAAGTGGGGAAAAATGTAATGGAACCCCGCAAATAAACTACTAGCAGACAAAAAATTAAAGCACACCAAGACCAGCTCTTCAAGGACGTCTCAGTACACATTTTTGGTTTGCTTTTGGTGCACACTCGAGTGCGATTTCTACATTTACACCTGCCCAGACGAACCGCACCAAGAGGGAAATCAAACTCTAGTGTGATTCAACCGAACTAAATAAGGCAGGAAAATACCCTTAATTTGGCGTATATGTATATGTATGTAGAGGTGTCCCAAATGGCACACTAATGTTTTTTTACTAAGTGGAAATTTAAACCGTTTCTGATGACGTTTGACGGTTGCCAAATCAGTGAAATAAACGACTGAATTATCAAATAATACCTGCCGCGAGGTATTCACCATCGGGAGGCGCTATAATCACAATTTTGCTTTCACCATCAAAAATAAATAAAGTTATTCAACATGTGCGTCCGATAGCTCCGCCCCTTCCGCTATGTAAGCAAACCTGAGGTCGTTGAGTGCGTGAAGTGTCCATAATTACACACTTTATTTTAGCGGCTGAATGAGTGCATCATCCGGGTAATTAAAGTGCACTTATTATTTTTAGAGTTTTCAGTGTGAACACACCATTTATACTACAAAATGGCGTAGAATAGTGCATAAGTATGCGATTTGGGACGCAGCTTCTGTGTTTCAGTAAATAGAACCATTTTTGGTGACAAATCTTATTTTGACACATATTTTGAAAAAAATGCTTTGAAAATGTTTAAAAATTCAACAATACACTCTGGCCAAATGTACTACTCTTTCATTATGAAGGTGGCTGGTTATGCCCAATTGACTTCCATTATAATAATTTTATTGATTGCTAAGCCATGACACTATGACATTATTCTGTATTCTTGATTGTTGCTAGTTTTCCCTCTTAGGTAAGAGTTTCGTTTTTTAATTTCAGTGTTAATCATTATTTGCAGTGCAAAAAAAGCGTAGTTTCTGCCTTCTTTATGGAGTATAGTGTGTGTGTATGTGTATGTGAGAGACAGACATTTGCACACTTATCATGATATGTCTGAGAAAAAACAAATAAGCAGCTCAGGTCTCAGAATATAGTTAAGATAGTGAGTGTATTTATGCATACACACTGTAATCTGCTGTTTGTCTCCTTATAACTCCATATAAAAGCCAAAAACATTTTTGCACAGGCCTATCTAAAGGGTTAATGCTGCTTACTGATGATCAACAGTAAAAATGACAGCCTTGACCTCTTCCAAACAGAGAAAACCAGCAACAATCAAGAATGCATGATTATATGGTTCATGGCTTTGCGATCAAAAAAATAACATTGTAACGGAAGTCAATGGGGCAAAAGCAGCCTCGAACATAACGAAAGGGTGGTCAATTTGAGCAGTACACAAGGGTTAATTGCATTTGGATTGGACACATACAACTGTGAGGAGGCAGGGCTGCTGGGAATGGAGTCTGCAGTGGTGTGGAGCTGTATGGATGAGGAGGCCGTGTGCATGCTGTAGCCGTCCTCACTCTCGCTAGCCGGAGGGTCCAGCTCTGTGTCCCCATCTGCTTCAGAGAGATAAACAGCGTCTCCGTCCTCCTCTCCTCCACAATCCTCCGCTCCATCCCCTTCCAATCCGCTTTTCATCTCCGACACACTGCCCTCCTCCGCATCGCTCGCCGCTTCCTCCTCCTCCTCTTTTACTTCCTGTTAACGAGGAGTGTAAACAAATACTAAAAAGGGCTGAGTTAATGGTTTCCGGGTGTATATATTTATATACACTGTAGGATGGTGCATTATATGTTAGCGTATGCAGACAGTCACACCTTTGAGTGCTGTTTTATCACCGGGTCATCGACTGACCGCGTATCTGTAAGAAAACCAAACATTTGTGAGTCCTTAAAGTCCCTGTGAAATCAAAATCAAGGTTTGTCAACATGTTAGTCTTAATGATATCTATAAGCTAGTGTGGTCAAAAACAGTGACTAAATTCGCATTCAGGAGATAAAAACATTCAAAGTTTGCCGTTTGTGACTCTCCTAAATGGATCAGTTTTTTTTTTTATCTCACACTTCAGATTCAAATAAATATTCTGACCAATCAAATGCTCTCTAGTGTCTGACATGGCCCGCCCCCTTCAGGATGCTATTCTGACAAGTCACCAACAAATGCCCGAAATCACAAGCAAATCAGTGCTCGTTCATTTGGGTTACAATCACACAGTGTGAACTATCAAACACACAATCTGAAAGAATCGCCGATCAGCTGTCGATGATTCAATGCAGTGTGAAATGTGTTCTGGTTAAAAACAACATCTGCGATCACCTACAGCCAATGAAAGAGCAGCATCCACTAGTATGGGTATCTGCAGCCCAGCGGGAGGATGAGGAAGACGTTAAAAGGGCTTCTTCTCAGTCTATTTGGACCCAAGAACATAGAGGAAAAACTAGTGGAAGTTTGGCAGCAGCACCCGTGTCTGTTTGATGTAGAGCTGCTCGATTATGGGGAAAAATCATAATCACGATTATTTTGGTACATAATATCTTGAAACCTATTTTAATGTTATTAGACCTCTTGAGCAATATATTTTTTGTTTGTCTTTTTTGAATCGCACTTTAAGCTGAATGCTTGTCTCTTCAAAAATATGTAGTAAAATATATCGTCATCATGATGAAGATAAAATATATCAGTTATTTTTAAATGAGCTATTAAAGCCAGTATGTTTAGAAATGAGAAAAAAATATTTCCGTTAAACAGAATTTGGGGGAAAAATAATTCAATGGGGTCGCTAATAATTCAAGACGGCTAATAATTCTGACTTCAACTGTATATATTCAGTTATTTTCCTCCCTGTAAATAAGAAAAGGGAAAGAAATACAATAAAATAAAAATATGAAACAAACTTTTTTGCTTTTAGCATCTTCAACGTAAAAAAAAACTACAATTATAGTTACAAAAATCCTTCAGTCAAGAACAGTGAGTGAAATTTCTTCTCTTTTTTTGTTTGATTATTGATGAAAACAGTTGGCAGCAGGATTATTGCGCGCTGTCACTTTAAGAGCAGTACGGTTCTGATTAATGGTTTCTCTTTCACGTTTAAAATGGTTTTAATGGTTTCTCTTTTGATTCTCAACTCGTTTGTTTATTACATAAAAGAGGGTTAATATGAATAATCACTAAACACTTTTTGTTTCGACACAAATTTGCATGTCTTTGACCATTAAAGCGCTCGCATTAAGATGATTTTAAATGTGTGTGCTCTGCTCGCCTTTGAGGCTGAGCGCACACACACAACAGCATGCGATCTCTTTCGCACTTTTAAAAACATGAATGATTTAAATGTACATCAATAAATGAAGTGCATCCTGTGCTGCAAAAGTTACATCACAGTACATTCTCTCAGCAAGCTTCATGTGAAACTGAGCTTTGCAGAGCAACAAATGTGAGCAACTGGAAAGTGAGCGGTATATGATGGAATACTCGTTTATCTCGAGTATTGTTTTTTATAATCGTTATAAGCCGAAATCAAAACTGAATTTTCAATTAATTGTACAGCCCTATTTTGATGTGTCTTCTGAGCTATACCACAATTGGGTCGGAAAAAAAAGCTATGGAGAAATTGCTAATTCCCTTCAAAAGCCAGCTGAGCAAAATAAGCGCATTTTCTACCCCACTAAAGGCTTCTTTCTCATTGTATAGTAATTACACAAAAGATATATTCCGTGCCCTTGCGTTGTTTTCATGTCACTTCTTGCATGTGTTTGGTTGTGAGATGTAGTTTGTGGGCCGAGACAAAGTTGTCGGCTATTTTCCTATTGTACTGTCATCGCCATATTTCATCGCCGATCCATCCTGCAGTGTAAACAAAGCAGCGACGTGATGCTACCACAAATGTCATGCAGTATGAAAACACGACTACTTTAAAAATCGTGCAATCTGAACTCGGCCTGTCCCGCCCCTCATGTTTCTGTTCTAAAATGCTACTTTTTATATATACCGAATGGCTAAAATGGGATAGTTCACCCAAAAATGTAAATTTGCTGAATATTTACTCACCCTCACACGGTTCCATTGGTTTTTTAATACATATTGCCAAAAATAAATATAATGCCAAATATTTATTAAAAATAGTCAGATTAAGATTTTATTTACAAGGATGATATTCTTTTAATGAGGGTTTTCTTTTTTATTATCATATTCAGGGTTGGTACGAAACCTTTCCGATACCTTTGGAACTGGTATGCACCGAACCGAATTAGCATATGAATTTTGGTGCCTCATCCCGGTGCCACTGGTGCTGCGACAAGAACGAAAAGCAGGTTGCACACCAGAAGCGCAGCTCGGCAACGCATAGCGTTGCGGCACGCAGCGCCATGCATTTTAAAATTTGCAAGCCCGTGACTGTCCACGGCGCCCAGCCACGACACTGTTCATATTTCTGCCGCGCCACAGAGCGCCATCTGAATAGTTTAATTTTAAATAACATGTGAATGTGCACGTCTGGTGTGTGATACTATCAACTGACGAGTGTGCGCCGTGCCGTGGCTCTGAGTGGCAATCCGGTGTGTGCCGCCCTTAAGAACCATCAGGGGGAGCATCAAAGGCACACATAAGTACACGTTGTGTCACACATCTCTAAATATTTAATTCTAAACAGCTTTGAGGGGTACGGATGTCAGCGATGTCAGGTGTTTGTTCTTGTTGCTTATAGAAAGCAAAGTGCGCAGTATGGCGCATGCAGTGAGCAACTCCCCTCATTAACACGCATGATCGCGTTCTTCTAATTTGCTTAAACTAAGCATTCTAAAGTATGGCTGTATTTTACAAGCAAGGATTCTGACACACCAACATGCAGCAGATGCTTTACAATGTTGTGTGTGAGGGTGGAAACACGTCAAACTTATGAAATGTGAGGGCTCATGGAATCAACTCAAAGGTGAGGAATGGACTGTCTTTGACAGCTTGTGACATCATCTGGCACTTTCAGTGAGAACATTTACATGGACACCAATACTCAGATTTTAACATGATTAAGACAATACTCAGATCAAGAGTCTAGACTACCATGTAAACAGATTTTTGATTATTTTAAAGGACCACAGACACAAACTGCAGAGGAAACATTATAGGTTGGTGATGCAATGACGTTGATGGATCTATGTGCTATAACATGTAACTGGGAATCATGAAAGTAACATTCAAAAAGCAGCTCATGTAAACACCTGAATCATGTCATTGTCTTATTCAGATTAAGGCAAATCATTAGATCACTGATGTCCACGTAAAAGTAGTCACAAGCCCCAAATCCAGAAAAAAGGTGATCCCTGAATTTTATAACAGCCTTTCCACAGGTTAGTAGTAAGCTAATGTAATGTTAATAGCATAATGCAAATCTTGCATTCATGCTAAGAAAATTATGTATTGATGTTTACTTTAAAGTTATTATAAATATCTATTTATATTATTCAATTATAATGCTTTTTTTTTTTTGTCAAATAATTTTGTGTCTAAAAAGTATCGGTTCAGGCTGGTACTGTTTTAAAATGATCGATTTAGCACCAGTATCGAAATAACCTCAAACAATACCCAACCCTCAGCATATTTGGAAAGTATGATATCTTATTATCTTATCAGGGAAGTATATCATCTTACATCAAAAATATATGAATTTTAATTATAAAAGGAGGTGTGTTAACATATGACCTACTATTACATTTATTTACTTATTTTTCTGTGTAAGGCTGTAATTATTTGTCCAACAATAATAAATATAATAATAGTAATATACTGTTAAGTATTGTACATGTACAATGTAAAGTAAATCTATTTAGGATCAGAAACTATCCTTATGCGAAGATTTGGTGCTCAAAAAACATCATTAAAACAATATTTTAATGAAAACGGTGATTAATTTTGGTCAGGATTCTCTGATGAAGAGAAAGTGCAACATTTATTAACATTATAAATCCATAAACTAACAAATCTGTCCTTGATTGCTAAAAAAAGTCATAATAGCATCATGATTTGATCCAACATAAACAATCCACTTACACGCTGAACTTGCCGTACCTGATTGAGAGCGTGTCCATTCCTCAGCCTCACTTTTGATCAGAGAATGCAGTGACTCTGGTTGCTCGTCCTGGGCCTGGTCTGTGTGCTCCGGTCTGGGGGTGTCAGGCTCTGAATTCAATCCAACTATAGGTGTGGGGTCTTGAGGAACTGATGGGACAGTGCTGGACGGGGTGGAGTACATCTGTGCGCATCCACTGCTGGATCCACACGCGTCTGGACCCTCTCTTTTCCCCTCTAAGAGATTCAGGGAGTGCGGGTCTAAGTCTGCTGAAGTGCTGGATGGTTCTGGGCAAATTGGCCTGAAGGGGTTTGGCTCCCAGGAGCCTGTCAGGCTGTGACCCGTGTCCTCACACAGAGACAGCGCAGCTTCCACTACTGCAGCATCCAGCGCCTCTGCGTTCTCATCGCCCTGCGTGAACACAAAAGAACAATCAGCTTCTGTTGCTGTTTACTGACATAATTAGACAGATGTCATATTTCTGCATTGTCAGCTAGTTTAACCCAACTAGAAGTTTTCAGTTCAATTCAATTTTTGGGTTAAAAAAAATGCTTTCATTCAGTTCAAAATATTATGAGTAACAGATAAAGCGAATATTCTTGGTCATCTCCTAACAAGTTCTCACCCAGCAAGTGAGTGTTTAATAGACATTTAAAGAGCCCATATTATGGGTTTTTGAAAATTCCCCTCCATGTAGTGTGTAACACAGCTCTAAGTGAAGTGAAGTATCCAGCTAAGGCTTAAATCTATTAGTGTACAGTGTTTAAAACTGTTGATTCATCTATAAAAGAGTCGACTCAAAGTGCTTCAAACGAGTCGCCTTGATACCGATTCATTAGGTGTTTCGCCATGATGTACGAACGAAACCAAGTTATTCACGTGCACGCGCAAACCCGGGAGATTTCAAACCTGAGGCCCCGCCCTCTGACGCAGAAACCCAGACACACACACATACACACCCACAAACACACACACACAAACACACACAAGCATGCCGGTCGATTGAAGTCACACTGCAGATGGATATTATTGAGTCTCTACCCAAAGATGAAACCTCAGCATTATAACCAAGCAGTTGGAAACTACTGGAAACTTCTGGAAACTACATGCTACAAAGAATACTTCATCAGCGTTTGTTAAAGGAAGGATCAGTAAAGAGTAACTTACTGATGGACGTCAGGATGGATTTTTCTTCCTCCATTTCTCAAGTGTAAGTACGTGCGATTAAAGTTGCCTCGTTTACTCTAGCTTGCAAATGTATTTAGTTGTGATTTGTTACTTGTAACCGAGTGTACTGTATCAGGTTAACTGGCTATATTCTCTTATCTCATGCAAAGTCACGTTAAAAACGCGACGCGTGCTGCTTTGTTAACGGAGCTCCGTGGACGAGGAGTAGTGTGTGTGTGTGTGTGTGTGTGTGTGTGTGCGCGCGCGCGCTCGTCCGGAGCAGGGTTAAGTGCGTGCATGTGCGTGTGTGTGTGCGTGTGTGTGTGTGTGTGTGTGTGTGTGTGTGTGTGTGTGTGCAATGTGTGTGTGTGTGTGTGTCTGTGAAAAGAGCAGAGTGAGAAGCTAGGAGATCTCCTCAACTGTTTTTGGAGTTTTTGCTCAATAAAATAGTTAGTCGTCTGTATTTACATTGACCCACTGGCAGCTAAAATCCACGCCTACACTATCGAGCGTGTATGAACTGTGATTACTTTTATATTGCTGATTAGCTGTTGGGCATTTCACTCTCTGACTGAAGGCAGTCGACCAATCGCAACACTGTCATTGGTCCAATCAGCGCAGACTAGCTTCGCGCTAAGGAGGGGTTTGGGAACAAATGAATCACTGGACGATTCATACAGGAGTCGCTGGGATAATTAGGTAAAAATAAATGCAGATTATAAGACCACGAAAGTGTTTTTTGACCTTGCATGCATATTAAACTGTTGTTGGAGACCCTTACAACCAAGATATGACCCTATTTCATGTATAATATGGGCTCTTTAAACAGATGACGTGGCTAAAACAAGGCTAAATTTGGGCTGTCAGTGAAAATCTAATAGACATCTAAGAATAGCCCAAAACTAGATTAATCATCAATTCACAGATTAGACAGACTTCACATGTATAGTCATTCATTCCTGTCTATGTGATGACCAGTCTTAGTTTTGAGCTAGTCCTAGATTTCCCAACCAAATTTAGCCTTGTTTTAGTCAAGCTGTGTATATTTAGACGTCTATTAGACTTCTTTTAAACACTAACAAAGGCTTGCGGGGCATCTCCAGAGGATATGGGCAGGAATAACGATTTGAGGAACTTTTTATGTCATGGTATGGTAAAATCATTGTGCCATCATATATCTTGGTGAGGTGACTGGGTCAGAGTATAACTGAAAGAGCACTGATTTGAGAAGAGACAAACTACAAACTGGCAACAGGGTGGTATAATGCACCTTGGTTCATTGATGCAAAAAGGTAACGAAGATAAGACTATCTCGCCTGGTCCGTAAAAACTGAAGGTCTAGTCTGGTAGAGTAGACACAAAAATGATGGTTCTGGAAGGAATCTGTCATGACATGCTCTGCACTTTAATACCTATTTTGACTTTGTCCACTGTTGAAAGTGGCTACAATGTGCATGTGAGTGTACAAATATTCTGGTCAGCTGAATCTCTGCGCCATGTTCTTCAGGGAGTCCCTAAGTTCATCCTTTCATGTGGACATATATTTGACATGTGCAACCTACCTAAACACTGTTGCAGACCAGGAAAAGCCCTATACTCACAAACATATTTTAGGTACAAGTGGACTCTTTGGGTAGGATAACACACCCTGTCATACTGCACACATTGTTCAGCAATGTTGTGATAAATATGATGAAGAATTGAAGGTGTAGCGCAGGCCTTCAAAATCCCCCGATCTCAATCTGTTTGAGAAACTCTAAAAGGTGCAAACTCGATCCATAGAGCCATCACCACAAAAATACCGGACTTGAAGAATCTGCTGCTAACATCTTGGTACCAAATACACAACACAGACTCATCGGAAATATGTACTTCAGCCTATATTTTAGTGAAACCATATAAATATCTCTACATATGTTTGACAGGAGTTTCTAAGTAAAATGAATGCTATGGGGTGACACGGTGGCTCAGTTGTTAGCACTGTCACCTCACAACAAAAAGGTCGCTGGTTCTAGTCTCAGCTGGCTTAGTTGACATTTCTGTGTGGAGTTTGCATGTTCTCCCCGTGTTCACGTAGGTTTCCTCCGGGTGCTCTTGTTTCCCCCACAGTCCAAAGACATGCTCTATAGGTGAACTGAATAAACTAAATTGGTGTGTGTGCCAATTTAGCTTGTGTAAAATGTATGTGAATGTGAGAGTGTATGGGTGTTTCCCAGAGTTGGGTTGCAGCTGGAAGGGCATCCACTGCGTAAAACATATGCAGGGTAAGTTAGTAGTTAATTTTGCTGCGGTGACCCCTGATGAATAAAGGCACTAAGCCGGAAGAAAATGAATGAATGAATGCTATAGTGGATTGCGACATCAACTTCTGTTCCATTTCACATTAATGACATTTACGCAGACACAATATCAACCATTTAAATATGAAGTAAACATCAAATAAAAATCACAAAACAAATTAAATGTGTCTATAATTTGTAAAATCTGCAAATACATTTGCCTCATCTATCTATCTCCATATGGGCATAATTTCTGTTGCGGTCCATTTTCTTGGTAGATTAAATTGTTGTACCTGTGTACTTGGTTCGAGTCTGATTAGGCACAATTCCACATTCATTCATTTTCTTTTCAGCTTAGTCCCTTTATTAATCCGGGGTCACCACAGCGGAATGAACTGCCAACTTATCCAGCAAGTTTTTACACAGCGGATGCCCTTCCAGCCCCAACCCATCTCTGGGAAACATCCACACACACATTCATAAACTACGCACAATTTAGCCTACCCAATTCACCTGTACCGCATGTCTTTGGACTGTGGGGGAACCTGGAGCACCCGGAGGAAACCCACATGGACGCAGGGGAGAACATGCAAACTGAACACAGAAACGCCAACTGAGCCGAGGCTCAAACCAGCGACCCACTAACTACTGCGCCACTGCTTCACCCCCATACAGTTCCACAAACAAGATAAAAGAAATGTAATTATAACCCTGAAAAGTATTCTATTGGTTAGGTTTATGTCAGTGCTTATCTAGACAATGTGATCTGTAAGACAAGCATTGCTTTCTCGTGGACATGTACAAGAAGGACATGTATCTAAAACATACAACGAAACAAAGTAACGTGTTCACAAAAATGCAGACCTAAAATCTACCCTATAGTCAACTTGCCATCTGAAACATCCATTGAAATGCATTTCCAATGTGCCTGGGCTGCAGATAACACAGCAGATATCTTTTGGTTTCACGAATGGAACCTCTAAAAGACTGTTGCCATCTTGACAGTACACATTTAGTCACTGCTAATTAGACTGGTCGGGTGGTCATAATCTTTTGGCTCAGTGTAAATGGAATACATCTAATATAATGCATGACCCCTTGCATCATATACATGGACATCAAGCAAAAAAATCCCAGAACTAAAAAAAGCATGTCTAAATTACCTTCTCCTCGATAATGGCTATGATGTCCCCAACTGTCTCCAAGTCCAGCTCCTCTGCCATATAAGACACAGTCACCAGGTCTTCTTCTCCTAAAACTGCCTCCTTATTATCCACTGAAGCCCCAGCAGCTCCTTCACCTGTTTAAAATATTACACACACATGAAACTTTTATCAATGTTTTAGACAGGCATCTGTGATCCAACACACCAAACAAACATGGGACAGTCCAACCAAGGTATAATTAACGATTTAATACATTTAATACATCAGATATGAACTGAATGTGGCAGAAGGATAAGACAGAGTCTAAAAGAAACCTGTGCTGAGCGGGGCAACAACATCCACTGCAGAGGTGGCAGCACTAGGGGCGGAGTCTGCAGTGGCCAGTGAGCTGAGCTGAGAGGGGAACTGGGCGGGGCCTGCCTCCAGCAGACGAGACAGTGTAGGAGCACCTGAGACAAACACACACAAGAGCAGCGCACACACAGTGCGGAGAGAGAGCAGGCTAGGCGTAAAGCTGGAAGAGATGCACATTTCCAAAATCTTATGCACAAAAACATGCAGAATTTGTCACATTGATTATAAAGCTTGTCTGCTATAATGTGACACTGCTGCCTTCTACCTGTAGCTGCCTGAGAGGCTGGTAGTGAAGAAGTCATCATCTGATTCTCATGACTCCCCGCAAGTTGATTAGATGGGGTTTCTCCCTCGACTGCCTGCAAAAAGAGTTTTCTTTAGATTGAAATTGTTTCATATATTTTTAAATATTCTCAAAAAGATGGTTCTAAGTAACAGTCTGAAACAGACAGGACTCAAGAAGTTCCTGGACAAAAATATTTGCAATATTTAATCAAATGGTGACTCATTTATAATAATTTCAAGTGAATCAATTCTATTTCCAATAAATGGTGTTCATCAGAACCTTTTATTCATTTTTTTAAAGGGTGCCTTTTTTACCCCTCATCAAGATTGAAGATAAGTTTTTTGTGTCTCCAGAATGTGTCTGTAAAGTTTCAGCCCGAAACAACCATCAGATAATTTATTATAGCTTTCAGATTAATGAATTTCTGCTCTGAACACAATGTAGCTGTTTTTGTTGCCTACACCTTTAATGCTAGTTCTCCCCGCCCACCATTCCCACGTGCCTGTCAGAGTGTGCCTCAATCTCCGGCTGCGTCTGATAAACAGCACAGTGACAGGCATGAAGGAAGCAGACCTCACGTAACACTTGTGAGAAATACCACGGTAAGAACTTTTCTTATGATTATTTGATGTATTTGTTAATACAGAGTTAATTCAAGCCTTTCTGCATTGATGAGTCACACACAATGTCGTTACACTCAAACATACACAGCACACGTGTTTAACTTTGCACTTTTTGCACAGCAAATGGCACATTTATATCTACTGCTGTATGGGTAACTGTTATGTTAATGTACAAAATAAACCTAATTTAACGTCCACAAGCGGGATTGAATCGTCTTCTTTTATAATTGTACTGACATGTGGCTGTGGTGATAAAGATGGTAAAACCGCTGTAATTCATTATAGACATGCACTGTTTTAAAAACTTGTAAAACTCATTCTTGATCACATTTGATGATGATTGATGGTCACAGACAGCTAAACAGATCTTTTAAGCAGATCAGTTGCTTTGCGCAGATCCTATCTTGTTGATATGATTATATGCGTTACTATGGAGACATGTTATTACGCGGCTGTTAATTAATTCGGTGGGCGAGGAAACCGCACTCCCACATCACGGTGGGCCTCAAGAAGGGATTTGGATCCTATTTTAACGTCAGGAAATTTAAAAAAGAGATTTCTTGTGTTTTTATCACCCCAATATGACTGTGGACACACTATACAGAACTGTCCAAACAGAACAAAACCAAAAACCACCCAGCTATAGAGTCCAGACAGTCTATAACAAGCTGTATAAACACACACACATAAGCACCTAGCAAGACACACACACACACACACACAGACACAGACAGCGTGACGTTCTCTTCTTCATTCACAAACACACACACACACACAAACACACACAGACAGCAACAAACAAGCTAAACGCAGCATCACGCTGTCTCATTCACACACATGCATACGCACGCTCGCTCGCTCAGGAGTCGGGAGCAATATTGTTAGACCGCCTGCTCCTGTCCAAAATTAAACTATTTACTGACCGCTCCCTCGCTTTATTCGAAAATCTATTCCCACGCCGCAATAAATCTGGTCGGGTCCCGCGGCTGTTAAATGTAATGCAGACCTCTACTTTAATCCTTGTCATGCGCTATGTACTCTATTCCTAGTCTTTTTCCCTGTTTATCCTGTCTTTCTCCAGTTTTGACTATTTGCCTGTTTATCGACGACGTCGACTTCTTGATGGTCTGTATTTACCTGATTGCTCCTTCTATTGACCCTTGATTGAAATACTGCTCCTGTAACTAAATCTGCACATTTGGATTTGCATCTCCGTAAAAGCCTCCTTCAGTTACAAGTAGGTATTGATCTTCTGTGGAGGCGGGGCTTATCCACCCTATTACATCATAAAGTAGAACATTTTATTTCCTGTCATTCAAGGAAGACCACCCGCAATATAAGTTTTTTTATTTTTTTTATTTCCGTGGCTCTTAGTCTGCCGGTTGGACCACATTTTCGAATTTTCATTGCCAATCTTAGCTAGTTGTAAGTTTGTTTTGGATCAATTTGGAAATTTCACAACCAGCGCAGAGCCCCAGAGATCAAAAAGAGGCTGAATTGACTTACCCCATATCCAGTATAAGCTGAGGAACAACAAAATCTCCAAATCTAAATATTAAATCTAAAGTTTCTATAGTATTATATACAGTACGTATAGTTTATTCTTTCTTTTTTTTTTATTAAAAGCACAATGAGCTAGATATGTGTAAGACTTTGCGAATGAATCTGCTGGATTTCTGTTAGGATCAGAGTCCACTCAGAGGTACAGATGCATATATATGTAAGAAATGCTGACCAGTCTGGGGCTGGTGGGCAGGAGGCTGCCTTTCTTCAGCAGTTCTGACAGGAGAGGAGATGGAGGCGGCGTGATCTTCTGACCCAAAAGCTTCTTCTGTGTTGATTCATCCAGCAGAGACCCCAAACTGGCCTCTACCACTCCAGGGCCTGGCAGCTCAGTCAGCGGCACAAACACTGTTGGTCCTGCTGCCTGCAAAACGGTAGGAATGATTCAATGTTGAGATTTCTGGCTTTTTGGTGTTTTATAGTGTCCAAAACACCCAAAATACACTTTGATACCACTTTATCAATTAGTGCCTGTATAGTTTTTGGTCAGAAAATCTCCTCTTTAGCAGCACATATATATTGAATGGCACAGTTTTATTCAGTGTACAGAGAGACATTTTCATACATGACTTGCCTGATTATATACAGCATTTTATTCTATTTGAAACGTAGTTATTTTCGAGCTGTTTGGGGTATTTTCTGAATTATGGCATCATAAAAAGAATTCCCAAAATTTCACTTGTAAAAACCTTTGACTCTATTATATGAAAAAAATATATAATTTTGCACCTAATTTAATCCAATGTTTAGATTTTTGGTGTTAGAATTGTATGCAAATTAGTGCATATTTAATAAAATAGGGCCTCATTAGCATTTTTATGTTTAGAACCATTTTAGAAAACTTGTAATTCTTAAAGTAATGAATTGACTGGGGAACTATTCTGTTTTTTTTACCCAGTTCACCTAAAGTGTTTCGCCTTAAAGGAACTTAAGCAGTTGGCTTACACCATTTTTTAAACCATTGAGCCGATTTCTTGTTTTGGGGGGGTCACTATTAGGCATGGGCTGGTATAAGATTCTGACAGCATTATAACCTTGGATAAAAATATCACGGTTTCACAGTATTGTGATTACTGCTCTAAAATCTGTTCTTTTTAAATGTCTGGGTAAAAACTAAAACTTTTTCCCATTTGAACACAGTATATTTTATTTTGAGAAACATTTTAAATATTTTGGAGCAGTAACAGGGTTTCTACAGGTTTCATCAAGTGAAATTTAAGTCTTTTTAATACCTTTTTAAGACCATAATGAATGAAATGTCAGACTTACAAAAGGCTAAACCCTAAAGATTTTTTAATGGCCAAGTTAAAACCTTAAAAAAACATTAAAAACAAATGTTATTGTAAGGAAGATTATAAAACCATATTATTAAGTAAACAGAGTTAATAAATAAATGTTTCTTAAAACTTGTAATATATTGTTAGTGATTGGGTGTTGGCCAAATTGGGTACACCTTTACAAGGAACATGAAGACTTAATTTAAATGATTTAAGACCTACAACACATTATTTCAGTGCATTTTAAGATTTTTTAAGGCCTACATTTTTTTTTTTTTTTTTGAAATTTAAGACTTTTTAAGACCCCGCAGATACCCTGAGTAAACATGTCAGGCTAAATAATGTTTCAAAAACAGATTTTGTTTTTTCAGTTTAAAATGGCATCTTTGGATATGGTTTTCTGCTGGAGATATTGTTGTCCTAAAAAACATAAATAAAAATATCTTGCATATACTTTAGGAACAGTATAGTAGAACATTTTAGCAGTTTTAAAACCTTGACTTTTCCAAACCGCGGTATACCTTGAAAAAGGTTATCGTCCCATGCCTAGTCACTATTAACTTAGCTTAGCCTAATTCATTGAATCGTATTAGACCATTAGCATTTCCTTCAAAGGATTCAAAAGAGTTCTTATAATTTTCCTATTTAAAAGCTTGAGGCCTCTGTAGGAATCTTGTTAATATGAGCCTTTTTCAAAAAAAGGAGGAGTGTTCCTTTAAAATAAACAATTGTATACAATGTAATTACAGAATGAAAATGAATACAAATGAGAAAAATAGAAACAAAACCTTACAGTTGAGCCAGGATCTTCAGATGAATCTCCGATTGGAAAATCCAGGCTTGGAGAGCAGGCCCCAGAGGGGGAGCGCACGGTCACACTGGGCACACGTTTTGGAGTGTTCTTCACTGCCTGCCTGGCTAAAAAGAAAAGAAAAGAATCACAGCTCTTACTAAGAAGCATTTATGACTAACTATATGATTAATATACTGATTAATATACTTCAGAATATAAGTTGCATTTTTTTTACCATCTGAGAATTTCTGCAACCTACAGTAAAGATTAAAGAAAGCCTACAATTTCCTAAATTTCAAGTTCACTTCTAGTCCAATTTGAAGTTGTCCGAGCAGAGGTAAAACAAGAGTTTTTAAGCATATTTCAAGTTAAATTTAAGACTTTTAAGGACATTAAGACCGTTATGAATGCCCTATCAAAAATTATATAATTTAATACATTTAATAATACATTAATAATTTAACATTTAAAAATGTAATATCTTAGATATTTCTTGGCAAAATATTTTAAATATTGTGTAAAAACAAACAAGTTCTTGTATCCATACACTTTTTTTTTTCCAACATAAACTTTTTCATTCATTCATTCATTTTCTTGTTGGCTTAGTCCCTTTATTAATCTGGGGTCGCCACAGCGGAATGAATCGCCAACTTATCCAGCACGTTATCCAGCGGATGCCCTTCCAGCCGCAACCCATCTCTGGGAAACATGCACACATACACTCATAGACTACAAACAATTTAGCCTACCCAATTGACCTGTACCACGTCTTTGGACTGTGGGTGAAACCGGAGCACCCGGAGGAAACCCATGCGAACGCAGGGAGAACATGCAATCTCCACACAGAAAGGCCAACTGAGCCGAGGTTTAAACCAGGGACCTTCTTGCTGTGAGGTGACAGCACTACCTACTGCGCCACTGCGTTGCCCATAAACTTTTTATTAAACTAAAAAAAATATAAAAAAAAAATAAAATACAAAATATGAACAAATGTTTTAAAGTTTTAAAAACTATGATAGCACAACAATCTGTCCAGGTTGGTGTCCTAAGCAGAAAATACATGGAGCACTTTTAAATAAATGTTATTGTAAGTAAAATAGTTAACCCATAATCGTAAATAGAGTTAAAAATTACCTCTGTAAATAAAAAAATTAAAGGTTTTATTGAGATGGATTGTTGGTGATTGTATCGGTGTTAGCCAGAGCCAAGAAAATTAAGACCTGTTTAAAAAAGATTTAAGACCTACAACACAATATTTCAGTAAATGTAATACTTTTTAAGGCCTAAATTTAACAAATCATCACTATAGAATTTTAAGGTTCTATCTGACTTTTTTCATAATTCAGTTCTTGACATATTCTTATTAAATGACAAATTATTTACATTATGGGATGTTTTTTATAAGTTTTTTACATTTTAAGACTTTTTATTTAAAAAAACAAATGTTACACACTTACTGTTTGCTATGGAATGCAAAAACTTTGAAGCTCAATATCTCAAAATCATTCAAACGCAGATAGAACCTTATAATTCAAAGGTGACGAAATATCCTGAAGCACAGAATAAAAACCTGTATGAGTTATTTGGAAAAGAACAGTGATGCTTTTGTTCTCCTCTCTTTTCTTATGCATTAGTTTTGCAGGTTTGGTCCTCTATAGAAAATGTTCATTGCCTATAGCTTAACACAAACAGAAACTTTATAGGTTGTCTGTGCTAGTCACGGGACTGAAAACTATGAACGCACACACTCTGATCCACTCATCTAATAATGAATGGCCAGTGCATTTTTGCTTATGAGATGATCAGATGGAAATAAAATCTAGTCAGAAAGATAAAAACTGACCAACATTTAAGATGCAGTATGTAGGATTGACACCTAGTGTTTGAACTAGATATTTCAGTCCAAATTCTAAATATTGGAGAGGGGTTTTTTTCACCCAGCGGATGAGGACGACTCGACATACACACAGAATGCAGATTGACAACATAAACAGAAACTAGTGTGTCTGAAGATCGAGCCTTACAGGTTAAGCGGCTCAGCTAATGTTTACATTTGTAATATTTATATTTGTTAATAAATAAAACACCTCATGTGGATGTTTATAACTGAATTGGCATCTCATTTTGGAGGCTGTTGCTGCCCTCTGGAGGTCACATTTTCAACCGTGCCCACATATACTGAGGCAGCCTTCATGAAGTATGGTGTTTTCCACAAGGGCATAGGGCAACATGGGTTTTTAAATAATATAATAATAAATAATAATAAATAATAATGTGGTAAACTGGCAGTGGGCGGAGTCCAAAACAAAGACATAAATTCCAAGACGAAACGCACATTTTCAAATGAAAATAACTGACGTTAGCATTGTTTTTCAGATAAACATGAATGTTCATATGTCATATTTCTTTAAAAATGTAAACATGGTCATTTTATGCTTTAGAGTAGTCAAAAACATATGTACAGTTGAAGTCAGAATTATTAGAACCCCTGTTTATTTTTATCCCCAGTTTCTGTTTAACGAAGAGAAGATTTTTTTTCAACACATTTCTACACATGATAGTTTTAATAACTCATTTCTAATAATGAGTTATCTTTGCCATAATGACTGTAAATAATATTTGACTATATATATTTTTAAGACACTTCTATACAAATTAAAGTGACATTTAAAGGCTTAACTAGGTTAATTAGGTTAACTAGGCAGGGTAGGGTAATTAGGCAAGTTATTGTTTAATGATGGTTTATTCTGTAGACTATCGAAAAACAAAATAGCTAAAAGGGACTAATATTTTTTACCTTAAAATCGTTTTTAAAAAAATTAAAAAACGCTTTTTACTCTACTCAAAATAAAACAAATAAGACTTTTTCCAGAAGATAAAAATATTATCAGACATAATGTTAAAATTTCCTTGCTCTGTTAAACATAATTTGGGAAATATTTAAAAAAAGGAAAAAAATTCAAAGGGGGCTAATAATTCTGACTTCAACTGAACTGTACAGCACTTTTAATTTTTGTCATGATCCTTTGTATTGTGTTGTTCATTCTTTAGCAGATCAGAGCACACGCTTTCAGTCACTCTAGTGGCTCTGCAGACTTGTCAAGTTTCTGTTTGTGTCAAGCCAGTTTCGTTGACAAAATGAATGTCTCATGAAAGTAATGGGACTTTCACATCAGTAAAGTTTGAAAGTGAAAGCAAACCTTTGAAAAGAACTCTGTGTTGTGTCAATTTTACCAAACATGCGCATTAAGTTCCCCACGTGAACTGACAGGGGAGTCAAGAGCTAGTTTACTATTGAATCACAGCAGTGGGTGTTTACTTCCAAGCCGCCAGAGTGGCTCACACAGAAGATCAGCACGTCCTTAGAGACGGTCTCAAAATTAGGGTAGAAAAATCTGTATTGCACTCAGAAAACTATTGTTGCTGCTTGTTCAAAATTCTTATTTAAAATGAGCTAAAACAACACAATTCTTCAGTTGTTTTTTGGGACAGATTAATTGTTTTAAATTCCATCTACTTATGTTTGTTAAAACAATTACGTGAATCTAATCGATTTGAGTTTGGACAACATGAACAACATTGTGTGGATCTCAATACGGTAAAACTATTGATTTTTATGTTTTTGAAAGTAAAAAACAAACGTGCAAATGCCATAAGTGGACCTCAGACAACAGAATAATGCGATAAAAAATCCAGTTCATCATGATACCTCTATGTTAATACATGCATTTGTCTTTTTTAAGGCTTTGGGATTCTCTCTCTTTATCAATGATGACAACTTTAAAGGAGTCGGATTCATTTATATATCATTCAGCTGCTTTCTGTTCCGATTATTGGGATTATTAGTTCAGAAAAGCAGCTGTTTTTGCTTTTAAAATTCAAATCGGCTCAAACAAAAATGCGTCAATATGCAGGTTCACACTGAAGTAAACTGTGTCTGTGAACGTGACAACACAAAACAGGCAAACAAATGTGAGGATTACTGTGCTAAAGAGACACTGTTTTGTACCCTGGTATGCTGCATCTGTGGCTTTTCTTTTCACCTCAGCTTCCTCTTCCTCTTGTTTTCTGCTCCTAATGGAAATCCAGAATCAAAACGTCAATAATTCTCTTAAGGGGGTCGCACAGTGAATGCAACGTGCTGTGTCTTACCATGCTGCGGATATGAGAGTTGGGAGTAACATACACGCTCTTTTGGATGCATCTTTGAAAGCAATATGACAACCAGTGTGTAGTGCTCTTTATAGTCATTAAAATGAAAATTCTGCATTTATTGGTCACTCTTAGTGGTCAAAATGTAGCTACGTTTTAACTGTCAACTAAAATTTACCAACACTCTAAACTATTACTAAACGAAAAATTATTTTATACACATTTATTTCTCTACTTATACCTTTTGTGAGAATAAATGTTAAAATATGGGTGAAAAACTTTTAAATATCAGTGAAAAATACATTTATTTAAAAACAAAACATACGTATTCTGTGCTTATTCATACAATTCAGCTTAGTCCCTTTATTTATTAGAGGTCGCCACAGCGGAATGAACCACCAACTTATTCTGCTTAGCCTCAGTGAGTAACTGGTCTTGGGCTGCAGGTTGATATGGCTGTGGCATATAATATGTGCTGTTTCGACTATAACATGTTTATAAGCAACTAAAAAAGTACAAATTTCAGAGCACGTCAGAACTTCTCATGGCCCCGAAAACACCCTCAGACCTAATAGGGTTAAATAGAGTGTTTTAATATGTCATCATCACACTATTTTTTTACACACATTTTGTCTGTGTCTTCTGTAAATTATGGAAAATGTGTGATGACTATAATTTTTAATCTTAGACAAAATACACATATTAATGTGTGAACAAATATTTATTTCTTTAATAATTATTTGCTATATTGGTGTAAAATTCTTTTCATCTTTCACCCATGTATAAATGTACAAATCTATTTTTATATATAGATTTAAGCAAATAATCTTGTTTTAGATTCTTTAAAAACTAAAAAAAAAACCATTCAAATAAAATACGAACACATAAATTATGAATAACAAAAATGCTCATTTAAATCTGGTATATTTGTAGCAGGTTCATACTATTAGTAGAATTGTTTGGGTTGGCAATGGATACACTTCATATAATGACTCTTACCGTACAATTTCCTCCCATAGCTCCTCGAGTTTGGAGTCCAGATGACCAGCCTGGATTAGTTCGCTTTCCCTCTTCAGTTTCCTAAAGGCAGAGTTACAGTCAGCAGACAGCAGATATTGCTCCAGCTGTCCATGTGAACGTTTGCTACCTGTGCTTCTCCTGCGTGTCTTTGATCAATCGCTTCAACTCCTCGATCCTCTCTGCTGTCAACCTGCGAACAATCACATCCTCCACCGTCTCCACCACCTCGCCTTTCTCACCTCGCTTCCTCCTGAAGGCATAAACACACATACGATTAAGTGAGTAGTTCATTAATAAATCTTGTTTATTGACTATATTTGCAGGTTTTTAGCTGACACTGTGGTTCCTGGTGATAAAATACTGTCACTTTGAGTGTCCAAAAACAAAACAACACAGGCAAAAGAAAAGTCATACCTGAGGCTCCCGATGATATATTGTAGTACAAAAATACAGTAAACTAAACTTATGATGAACTTATGACATTATTACAATTAATCCTTTTACATGTAAGTTTTAAATCCTCCCACTGACCCGCTGCATGAGTTTTTTTATGTGACCATTATTTAAAACGCATCACTTTAAAGTTTACATGGTGACACATTCAGACAGACCGCAGCCCTGATGATTTCTGCAAATACTGACAAGCATCCTAATTACATTGTGAACTATCTGATATAGTGATTCTTAAATATATGCCAAAACATGTATTTTGTAGTTTGAACGACTTAATAACGATCATATTATTTGATCTATAATGGTTAATGGGTGCGGCTGTGTTAATCTGCGCTTCAGTGGAGATATTAGAGCTGCTGGAATTACAACATGTGACTTCATCATTGTCTCCTGAAATGCATGAAAGTAAGTATCTGTTTAATTGGGAGTAAGTTATTTAGTGACTTGAAAAGTGCATTAATATGTTTAAATATTATTATAATTGCCATCCCCATAGACATCAGTGTGCACTTTACAAACCATGAATCTTGTTTACTTATTTTTGCACTTATAAATTGTGTAACGGATGGAGGAAGATCCAACACGTTTCACTGTCACATATATTTTTTAGCAGCTCTTGGAAACCCCCACAGGGAATTTGATAAGAACTTACGGCCAACTTAGAGTTACCACCGAAACCATCTTGACAGAAGTGGACATTTGTAAACTAGCCATTACTAAATTCTAGAATGTAATGTTTTTGTGTGTGTATGTTCATGTTCTGTCATATTCTGAGCTGTTGTTTGATTTCTCCACAGGATGTCGCCATTTTCCGCAGCGTTTCTGTTTGGGGTTCATTTGTGTTAATTCTGTTCAGGTGTGTCTTCTTAGACTAGCCTGTTTGTTCTACCCTCTTGTCTCCACTTGTCACTTGGTTTTTGAGTTTGATGCGCTCTCGCTGTTGCCGTAAAGTCCTCTGGTCATTACCTTTCATCAATTGTGTTTTTGGCTCGGGTACCCTTTGCTCTGCGGAAAACTTCATGTTTGCTAACTGCTTAGCTTGTAGACTTAATATGTTTTGCCTGGCTGCTTTTTTTGATGATTTTGGATTTCCTGAATAAACACCTTTTTTTGAACTAGACCTTGTGCCTTGGCAATTGAATTCCCCAGTTCTCCCTATGGCTGAACGGTAAAACACTGGTCTACTACACCAGAGACCTGGGTTTGAGCCTCGGGCTCATCACATGTTCTTTGTAACCTAGGTAGAATGCTATGTCTGATTTGATTTATTTATTTTCAAACAGAAATATCATAGATAAAATATTTTTAACAAAATATCCATTTCAACATGGTCGACAATGGAGCGGGATGAAGCACAAGCTTATTTTCCCAGCCCATTACCACTTACACCATTCGTCTATTCCTTCAACTTATTTCTTCTTTTTCTTATCTCTATTTATGAGACATATTTTATCCTTCTGGCATATTTGACAAAGTATATGTTTGATTCCATTTGTACCTTCACATTTTGTAACATAGACCCCCAAAAAATAAAAAATACATAGTACTGCAAATAGCCATTAGTAAAACTTTTATCATACCTTTTTCATTTCATCCTTTTTTTTATCACCTTCATCATTATATTCCTTCAATAATATATATTTATACAACTTTTTATTAATATTCTGACACTGTTTGAGAGTCTGTTCTAGACTGTTCCATAATTTCACACCACAGACAGACATACACAAACTTTTTAAAGTTGTTCTTGTTTTCAACCTCCTAAAATGTTGTTTTTCTCTCAGATTATATCCCCCTTGTCTTTCTTCAAAAAAACTTTTGTATGCATTTCAGAAGTAATTTATACCTAGCTTTAAACATCAATTGTGCCTTTTAAATTTGACCAAATCATTGAACTTAAGTATCTTCAGTTTAAAGAATAAAGGATTTGTATGCTCAAAATACCCCACATTTACTATCAGTCTGATTCCTTTTTTCTGCATTGTACATACGGATCATAAATTAGATTCCCCAAATTTCAACACTAACTCATATATGGCAACATAAGTGTGTTATATAATAAATACATTAATTAATTGTCCAGGATGAATCTTGTTTTAAACTCTATTGATACAGTTTTTATTAATTTTGATATCACATTATGTATTAGCGGTTTCCAACTAATTTTATGATCCATTCTGTAGATGTAAAAATAAAGATGTAAAATAAAGGTTAATATAAGTGGGCTATTATTATTGTTATTCTCAAACATGTGGTAAAACAGTAATAGGCTTTGTGTAGCTGTACTGTTGGTTAAAATGCTCAATTTTGTACAGACTTGGAATTTTAGACTTGAACAGACTTTAGATTTGTCCTGGTCATTAATGCTGATGATAATTCTGATGTTCAATTATTGTGTTTGAGACATGCTTACAATCTGTCATTTTCTGCTTAAAATCTGTCACTGACGGGATTTTTGATAATATTGAAGACTGGGTGGATATTTTTGCATTTCGGCAGGTTTTGAATACTTTTTGGGCTGGAATCTGTCAGGTTTCATTTTAACTGCTAAGAGTGGTTCACTTCCCGCACGGCTCCCAAACGATTACTCTTTGCCTCAAACTGAATGTTATTTACAACTCTATTACCTGTTATTCACAGCTTATGCAGGTTCTGTTCAATAAAGTAAATTTCATTCAGAGGCGCCCGCGTGCCCGCCCTCCCGCACGTTCAGCTCACGTCACGTGTGATTTTGTGGTCGCAAATACATGACAAGAAGACAAAAATGACATTTTTGGGGTGAATTATATCTTATAAATACAGCATGTGACTCTTTCAACACCATTTGGAGGTGTCCACATTGCTGAACAACATATGTAAAACAATGTGAAGACTTTTGCGGCCACCATTGCTTCTTTCCTGAACTTGAAAATATGATTGACAGAATCGTAGAAATGCTGGATTAAGATCGTCTAGGGGGTTGAATCGAGATCGCGATCTTTTTACGATTAACTGTGCAGCTCTAATCTATATTATGACTAATTTTTAATTTCCCAAATAACATAACCTGTTTTACTTATATTTAATGACAATTTATTTACGTCAAACCACAATTCCAATTTATTAATTTCTGTTTTAATCAGCTCCATATGTTTTGGTAAATTATCCCCGGTACAAAAGATACTTGTATCATCTGCATGTCTGTGCTAAATAGTGTTTATTGATGATTTGCTGGTGGTTTATCAATCTACCCTTACAAGTATTGCTTAAATGCTTACATTTAAACTTATCTGTACGTATGCACAGCTAATGAGGTTAACAGAACAACTGTAGGCATTGTATTTTGATCCTTGTCACCAGGGCTTAATTTGTGGCGGAACATGCCAGATCCGGCACCTCATTTTACCGATCCCCTCCTCAACCCACCCTCCTCCCCTGTCCGCTGTTTACTTTCACTTTCTTCCACGACTCCCTAACCCTCTTCACTTTCCACATCCAATTTTTATATTTTAGCTGAACTATCAATTTAATCATTGCAAAGAATGTTGTGGATGTTGGAACATAAATAAGAGTGAAAATGGACTCACTTTGGCGCCTCTGTTGTCTCCAGAAGCTCAGAATATTGTGATGCACAATGCTGTGAAACAGAAGAAAAGACAAGAGAGAGTGTCTGGAAGAATTTTACATCACACAGTGTCTCACTTATTGATCCTTATAGGTGCAGTTCATTCTAACTGTTTTTTTTTACATGCAAAAGCAGCAGATGTTTGTTAGCAAAACTAAATGTTTGTTCCACTGAAAGACAGAATTATTTTTGATTTTTTTTTTAAGTGAGTGTTAAATGACAGCATGTTTAATTTCTGGATGAACTATGCCTTTAGATTTCCTCATCACTGGATTGTTGTAGGCTACTGTCCCACCAGTACCTTCTGAGAGAACCAATCAGGAGGACGTCCAGGTTCTGCAAACGGCTTAATGGCTCGACTCACGGAAACCCTAAAACACCCAGTGAACAAAAACACATGGTGCATGTGAGTTTAGGCTTGGGCCAGACAGAATCTGCGGACGTTTTTTGCTATTTCTGCTGAGAATTTTGGTAAAAATATGCGGATTTCTGCTGATTTATTTTGGGAGTATCATAACTAAAACCTTAATATGTGAAATTAAAAAATTATATATTTTTAACTTTAATGTTTAAGATGCAAATCCAATTACATTCACATTTTTTGTTAAACAAAGCAAGTCTCTCATATAATATATTTACTAAAAGACAGAAAATATTACTGTAAAAACTGCACTGTACATACATCAGATGAACATTTTCATATTAGTCAATAATATTTCTGTAATTAATTTAAAAACTGAATAAATATAGTTTTAAACACATTTACTCAAGTAAATAAACAGAATTAATTATGGGCTAAAAATCTGCGGAATTCTGCACGCGCAGATTCTGTGTAGGCCTAGTTTAGGCTAATTTCAGACTTAAATGTGATTAGATATTTTCAAAGGGGGAAACGTGACTTAAAATATTGATTAAATCATACAAAAAAAGGCGTGTGTGTGTGTGTGTGTGTGTGTGTGTTAGTAAACATTTTTGAAATAAGTTTTGGATATATTTTAAAGTAACCTATTTTTTTTGCAGTTCTGAATTACATCAGTGATTAGTTATGAATCAAAGTATGAAATGGAATAAATCAATATTTATGTCAGAATAAACAAATCATGATAAGATTGACTTATCTTGAGCTGTCCTTGTTACAGTGTAATTGCGCATTTAGGTATTAAATACTGAATATTAATTAACAACGATTACTTACTATATGGTTAGGGTTAACTGTATTTAATTATGCATATAAAAATAAGTTATAAAATACAATAAATAAATATAAAGTTTTATTCATTGTTGTTTACATTTTTTTTATGCTTGGGATAAAAACTAAAATTATAAATGGTAAAATTTTAAAATATCGACCATTTTGAGAGATGTAAACAAAAACAATGGTCTCAACGTGTTTCCTGTTTTACATTTTTAATTTCTATGGCTTCAGAGAATCCAAAAAGAGTCACATATTTACAAATAATGTTATGATCGCTGGTTTAACATTAGGTTATGATTAAATTGCCACTTGTTACAGTTATGAAATAGATTGACAACAAGCAGGAAATCTTCATGGGCCAATGACATTACATTAAAATGGTCTCGATAGATAGATAGATAGATAGATAGATAGATAGATAGATAGATAGATAGATAGATAGATAGATAGATAGATAGATAGATAGATAGACAGACAGACATGATGTATATGTTTACAAAGAAATACCCTCATACATCAATTTATTTTGCCTTATGCAAATAAAAATCACCAGTTTTGGTCTCCACTCTTCATGACAGATGAGGCGAGGCACAGCTTCTCCCTAATTGACCATGGGTCTGTCGGGCCCAGCAGCAGTTTATGTTCTGTCCAAGGAATAAAAGCACAATATAAAGAGATGAGCGCATTTTACATGTGAGCAGCATTTGTATGACCCACACTGCGATGTAGAAGAATGTATGAAAAGTAGTCACTAATAACGGGGCCATTTTAGACGGTCAACGCATCATCGGCATCTTACATTTCTTTAACGTGAAGTGATTCGCAAAAGCTAGTCGATATAGTCATGAATGTTTGGGTTTTGGCGATTCGGCCAATGATTGCCATAATCAATGACTTCTGCGTGTCAAATCGCTCAACGCCCATGCACGCGCACCGCTGCATCCATTCTGCACGCGCTCGACATGCATCCATTATAATGTGTCCTCCGCCCCGTGCAAGACATTCATGTGTACGATGGAAATATAGAGAGCAATACTCACTTCCAACACCGCTCGCCATTTTGTCATGACTAGACTGTTTTCTATCGCTTCTTTCGCATGACAAGTGTCTGGCTGTCAAATGTAAATGTGCATATCCGGTGTGAATTTTCCAACAATCATTTTGCACTAAAGGTCTGCGTTAATATCATCAATGTGCATTATTCAATCGATAAAGGTTTCTGTTTTTGGTTAGTATTTTCGCTTGTATGACCGTAGTTCAGTCATTTTTAATACTTAAGAGGTGAATATTTATTTGTATTTGATAGATGTGGTGTTGGTTTACAGTTGCTAATAATAATCATGATAAAGCAAATAATATTGAATAACTTTGAATTGTTGTGTTTGCTTTTGCTCAGCAAATGTAGTTGGTTCTTTTAGTCACATTCAGTGAAATGGCTTCATGTAAACAACAATTATTTGTACAATTATATAATTTAGAAAATATATGCATAGAAACAAGCACTTTTTAAACAAAAATCTCATATTTTATGAATTATAAATGTGACTTTAAATTATTCTCGAATTAAATTATAGCATCTCGAGACTCAAAACATTTAAACAAACAAGCAAACAAACAAACAAAATTGCTTTGGCAGCTATGTTGTTAATAATTAAGCTCTTTTTGTACTATTGAATACATATATTTTAAAAACTAAACAAGAAGTTTGGTTAAAAAATAAACCAGCTTAAAATGTTTACAATCAACTAGTGCAAGCTGTTTACTTTAGATTGTTTTGTTTTTAATGTTGTTTTAACATTGTTAAAGAGCAACTATATTATTATAGAGATTTAAGACGTGCTGATACTAATATAAACCAATAATAATACAAAACAAATCAGTTAGCTCATAGAGCACAGTCGATAAACAAGTGTTTTGTTATAGCTAACGTTAGCTTTTATTTTGACTATGACTTCCGTACCGGAAGGAAGACCGGTGAATAAAACATTTGTTCGGATTTAGTATTTTTGGACTGTTAATGAATAAATACAATTGTTGAACAGGAATTGTGCTGTTTTTATTATTTATTGAAAACTAAAAAATAATCGACCCCAATGTGTGAAATATGCTATTTTTTAGCTATTATTTTAGCTATTTGCAACGTACTTTAGCACCGCTAAAATAAATGTTATTTTGGATTGAAAATGTATGTGTTATAGGCCATAGTTAATCGATTATTTAGCTGTTCCTAATACTTACGCATATAAATCCCCCTGGTGGACGTCACATATACCATGGGTGGTGTTCAATTGCCGACATACCTGATGCATACTCCGTGTAGGGGGATTAGCTCAAATGGTAGAGCGCTCGCTTAGCATGCGAGAGGTAGCGGGATCGATGCCCGCATCCTCCAATATTTTAATTTTTTTCTGATAATGAAAAATATTTATGTATCAATGATCATTTTTACAATATCGTGTTTATACATACACATGACTTCATGAATTAGGTGTTTACTTGCTTCATCATAGGCTGTACATTGTTTTCCCATACATTTTGAGGCATCTGCTGCACTGTAATCCTGATCCACACAGAGGCTACATCTAGTAGATATCATGTACAGTTGTTTGTTTATTTGATTATATAATTATAAATTATCTATTGAAAACTTAATTTGTTCATATCTGCTTTAGAAAATGCATACTAGAAAACAAGCTGTTAATAATAAAATGATGATTCATTGTCTGCCTGTAGGTGGCGCTTACAGACCAGAAATTAACCCGTCGTGAACTGAGCGAAGTGCTCTAAAGGCGCTGATTTACGATTCAAATCCATAATAAAAACGCAAATACAAGCAAATAATAATAATTAGCAGTGAAATATATATATTTTTGAATGTTTAGCTATTTTGGATCGTTTGCTTCATGCCAATGCATTGTACGTTGAAAAGAGCAGAGAAGAGACAAACTTCTAGACAATATTTCAATAAAAGAAGAGTTGGCTCACATCACAGATATTTATTTATATATGAGTTCACACGAGGAGTTGAAACGTTTGTTTTAGCGTTTATTTGCTACATTTTGTCATAGCTTTTTCATGCTAGTTGACTGCGCTAAATTGAGTTTAGCTGTATTGGACAGGCGTCCTGCTGACAGATTTAGGACCCGGTATGAGTGAAGTACGCATGGAAGTATGCAGTAAATTGTTTCTAACCATATGCTGTGCCAATTTGATTGGTCAAATGTAAGCCTCAGCGGTGAAGCGCGATTGGTCAAAAGTAAGCCACAGGGGAACGCGATTGGCTCATGTGGGCTTACTTTGGGCTTACTTTATCTCAAACCCTTTGGCTCAAGCGGTGGGAAGCAAGCAAAGGGGCATGATCTTCTCGCTCACTCGCAAGCAAAAGTCTTAGTACACGGACAAATGCGATAGATTTCGCTTGCAATAGTGTTCACGGCTTTGTGACTGTGCATAATGTGGTATATTTGTCGCATATTGCATGTCAATCTAAATGTCACTCTGCGTGCTGGATTCGTACCCACGATCTGTGTGACAAAGTATACAATCACTGTCGTTTTCAGCGGAGCCATTCAGCTGCGCTCTTATTCAAATTCAACTGAGGTAACACCGGTAATTATAGTGCTATATTATTACGTGGATTCCTGAATCTGTGCAAGACATTTGGCTTAAATTGGTCAAAGGAGCCAAATGAGCGTCCCAGGGTGACCATGCTGTTCTCACAGAGATGCTGTCTGGAAAGCCGCGAATAATTCTTTATATTGAAAGAGAATGGTCTGCGTTTCATGGAAGATTTCAGCGGGAGGCCGTGAAAGGAGAAAAAAGCACGTGCAGATGGGAAGACGTCTTTTTTTGTCGGAGCCACAGAGCTTACAGGACAGGCAGAAATCATCCTGCATACATTAAGTGCTTTCAGGTGTTTAATCCTCTGAATTTAATTTTTCATGTGCGCTTTTCAGACATTGATATGCAATTGTTACATGCAATTTAGAGACTGCCTCCTAACTATTTATTATTTTTTGTTTGTTTGTTTAAAAAAAGGTTATTTTTGCTATTTTTGTCGTTTAAGATGGTGCTGCTCTTTTGAGTTTTTTTTTTTTTTGAGACCTTTTTTGCAGGATATTTTCAATCATTTAAAAATAGTTATCCGAGCAAGCAGAACTTTCCGTAAACAGGTTTAGTTGTTCAGTGTTCGTGTGTGCGTTAAATGTCTCTCTCTGTTGTGTCCTTATACGCCAGGGGTTTTAGAGATGCTGTTAAACTCAAGGCCTTATTCTTGTTTTCTAGAAAATTTTCAAGAGTCTCGTTCTGAAGCTACTGATGTTCATTTTTGTTAATCGCAGTGGGGTAGTGAGATATGGTTTTCGCATGGTACAAAGCACTCTGCTGGAGTATCCAGTTTTAAAAATAATTTTGCAGGAAATGTGTTGCACACTTGCTTGTGATGGAAGCGGGCATTTTATTTTGTCAATTTTGAAGTGCTATAATGTGAACCTTATTCTTGTTAATTACTATGGGTATAATCTAGAGCTGAGAATGATCAATCACTATTTGTTTTAGAAGATGAGCTCACAGTTTGACAGTCAAAATTCACAAATGCATATTTAGTGATTGGTGGTGATGTTAATATTGTCCTAAATGAATCTCTTGATAGGTGTCCACCTGGTCGCTCGTCAAATTCATATAACTTACAACTCTAAAAGCATTTATGAATAGGTTAGAGCTTGTAGATATATGGAGGATTAAAAAATGTGAATGATAGAGCTTATACATGGAGCAATAAAAATTTGTCTAGACTTTCAAGAATAGACTTTTGGTTAGTCTCCAAAAATCTTGATAAACAGAATATTTATATTGATGTTTCAACAACACCACTAACAGATCATAAGGCTGTTTCCATTAAAGTTTTGTTTTCTTCTGAATCGAAATTTAGCAAGGGCTGCTCTTATTGGAATATAAACAGTTCTTTACTTGAACATAATGAGGTTAAAATAGAGCTGGAAAGACTTAAAGGTTTTTATTGGAATAAAGCTAAACAGTTCATGTGAACATGAAAGTTCATTTAGTATAAATTGAACCGTTAAAATATGAAATTGGGAAATACTTCAGAAAATGTATTGCTAGTTTGGCTAAAAATAAAACATCTTGAGAAAACCAATATTGTTAGTGAAATTTAATCTATCACCAGGATCCTGCCTGAAAATCGTTCTGATAGTCAGAAAAACTATTTAATTGATTTACAATTCAAGTTGGATAATTTATACAAGTTAAAAGCAGAAGGAGCTTTCATAAGGTCAAGGCAAAGATAGCTTGAATTAGGAACAAGAGAGTTTCCTTAAACTGTAACCCTGTTTTCGAAGGATAAAAGTAAACTCAATTTTTGGTTATTAAGGCATTTGTCCATAAGAGACAGAGTTCTTCCTTCAAAAACAGAAGAAATTTCTAGATTAACCTATTTTGTTTCAACCATATATCAAGATCAGGGGTGTCCTCACTTGGTCCTGGAGGGTCAGTGTCCTGGAGAGTTTAACTCCAACCCTAACCAAATGCACCTGAACAAGCTAATCAAGCTCTTACTAGGTATACTAGAAACTTCCAGGCAGGTGTGTTGAAGCATGTTGGAGCTAAAGTCAGCAGGACACCGGCCCTCCAGGACCGACTTTGGACACCTCTGATCTAGATAATAAAACAGTGAAGTCCATAGATATAATTTTATTTAATTTCTTTTGGAAGAATCGTGTGCACTACATCCGTAAATCTGTTGTTTTAAATTCCCTTAAAATTAAGGTCTTGACCTTTTGGATTTCTCTTCTCTAAATAATACTCTTAATATTAATTGGTTAAAATTTTGCTTAAATAAACCTTCTCTCTGAAATTTTATTCCCAATTTTATTTTTGACCAACTTGGAGGTCTTTCTTTTATTAAGCGATTATAAGATTGAGAAATTACCAGTGAAGCTTTCTGCTCTTCATTCTCAAGTCTTGTTGGCGTGGAAACTGATTTACAAGCACAATTTTTCACCACAGCGTTATTTTATTTGGAACAATAGATGTATTTTGTGTAAACGCAAGAGTATTTTTTTGGAGATGTGGTTTGAAAAGGGTATTGTTTTAGTTTGTCAATTGTTTAACACTCAAGGGCATCTTATGACGTATGTCATGAAATTTCTTGTACATTTTAACTTTCCTGTAACTCCCAAAGAATTTTCTCTTGTTTTCTCTGCAATTAATTCTAATATTGTTTCCTTATTTAGGGGTATAACATGGATTTATATTCCCATAATCAGTCTAGCGTGGTAAAATTGGTTT